TTGACGTATTTGTAGTTAAAAATTATTTCCGATTTAGTCTAAATGGGTATTAAAATGACTAAAATGCAGCATTCTCTCCGAAGCAGTTATGTCTTATGATAACAATGCACGCGCCATTCAGCCAATGATTCACACCGCGTGCTGTGACAGCACGTGTTAAGGCAGTCATCTATGACAGGGATATTATACGATACTCGTAATTCTCTGTGAAACGATACTCGTAATTCTCTGTGAAACAGATTGGTTGCGTAGCTCTAAAACATCGAAGCACTGCGTTCTCACAATATGAATTATTCAAGGAACATTAAGGTGTAAAATACATAAGTAACTATTAGTTACGCCAAATTAGCATTATTAATGAATGAACAAGTGAGTATTTTTAATGAGAGGGTTGGGCACCTTATCGCCAACGATGTAATACAATATCATTTGGGATCTAAATTTCAATATTGTATTCTTAATTCATATTTTATTTGTAACTCAATTTTAGACATATATTAAGTGACAGATTAATTGTAAGATTTAATCTATATCAGGTGTAGGTTGTTGAAATAATATTATGTAAGATTTAATGGATTGTACAAACATGTATACTCGGAGTGTCTATATGGTATAAGATTCAGGCTTAACACGTATTGACACTTTTTGTCTTGAGCTAAGATGTGTGAATCTTAATAATTACTTTTCATTGTTCTGATTACGAATGGTATTAACTATGGCGTGCCTTAACCGATATAAAAAGCCTAGTTTACAAGCAGGCAGGGAAGGGTACAATAGAGGGACAAGAGAGGCCCGTAGATGCTGAGAGGTCTCCCGGACCTCGGGAGAGGGTCTGCCCTCGACACCGGGCAGAGGGTCCTGTGAGGCCGAGGGGAAGCAGCTATAGCTAGACGTAACTTCACCCAACCAAATGATGTTATTATGTACCTGTAAATATGTTGTCCAGTATTAAAATATCTTTTTAATAAATAAGTGGTGCCGTGATTCCTGAACCTGTGGTTGTATCACATACACTTAAGTGGTGCCGTAGACCAGACCAACGTTTTCGAAGTCCTAACCACTAGAAGATAAAAGAATTTTATTAAGAGGTAAGTCTTTTTCTGATCCAAATTTTGGCCGCGAGTAATGATTAGTGTTTTTTTTAATAATTTAACTGGCGAAATAAGCGGTTTGTCTTCTACGCTTAAACATTGTGTAGTAACTCAATTAGCTCAACCATTTTCTAGTATTAAGAAATATGACCTTTCATCTGTTGTATCTTATTCAAAAATTAAATATATTGCTAGTAGTGGAACAGTACTCAACTATTTGTATGAAAATTACTAAAACAAACATCTATCTTGTTTTACAATGAGTTATGTTGATTTTTTTTAAATAATATGTAAATTATAATTGTTTTGAACACATATTTTGGCTTAAAATTAGTAGTAACTATTAAATGCCTATAATTCGAAGTGAAATGTTTTATGATTGTTTAATTAACTTGAATCGAGTTAAGAGTATCCTAATTGAGAGATATAACCCATAAACATTCACGCGGTTTTAACGGTTTTATCTCTTATATTTTTTTTTTTTTTTTGTTTTGTCTATATATATTTTGCCCCGGGTTTTACGGGAGAGATTTTAATTGTGTTAACCCCAATAATGCCCGAAGAGTTTTATGTGCAATTCCTATAAGGTGGGATTGGTTTAACCCCGGGATTTACGGGATGTCACAATATGTTACGTGAGAGAGAAATTTTATTTGTGTTAACCCCAATAATATGCGATTGGGAAGCCCGAGATGTTACGGGAGAGTTTTTATGTGAAATTCCTATACGGCGGAATTGGTTTCACCCCAGGCGGGTCTTGCTCGGAATTAAGAGCGAATGTGATGTGTTGTTTTGTGTTTTTGTTTAAGAATTATAGAGATAAAACCACTGTTAATTTTGATAGGTTATTTCCAAAATATCTTATTTAAGATTAATGAAGTGCGTTCAGATCAATTATTATAATTTAGCCTGCGGTAAAGAAATATGACCTTTTACTTTCAATTTGGTTTATGTCAATTCTAATGTAAATATATTTTAAAATAGTCTGTTCCACTTACTAATTTGATTAAAAGTTAATTGAGTTCACTCCATGATATAATAAGCAGATGATAAAACTTGGGCACGCATGGCAGTTAAAATATTTCTCATGACACGACATGTCATTAAGCACCGTTGGCTAGGCGGTATGGAAAGGAAAAAGACTAACCGACAAGAATAATAGCGGCCAATAAATAAACAAAGAAGGTGACGATACCGAGTATAGAGTGTTGAAGAAGATGGTGACGGCTAAAAGCCACAAGCCGCAGTGAGCTTGAGAATGGAGAAATTATCCATTCACCATACCTCGACAAAGCAGAGCATACGAAATATATGCTGACATGATGAAGAATATATGCATACATGGTGATGCATACATGGTGGAAAATATAATTATGCCGACATGAAGAAGAATATGCATCCATGTTGATGCATACATGGTGGAAAATATAATTATGCTGACATAGAGGAGAATAGGTGCATACATGGTGATGCATACATGGTAGAAAATATATGTTTAAATGGTGGATTCCCTAATTTGGATCGCGTGTGAATGTGATAATGTTTGTGTATTTCATTTATCATTTATATGACATTCATTTGTGTGACGATTTTTCCGCGTACTGTGTTCCCACGTAGATTTGCCTTTATTCATAGAATATACTGATCTAGGATCTAGGACCAGTGACACTTACCGGTATACTTTTGTGAATATTTTTAGTTTCGATGTTGTGCTTCTTGTATATAACTTTTGCGACACTATTATTTACCCCGGCGTTACTCCGTAGACTACTGAACTTTTTTCTTCAACCATTGAAAACATCTGCTTTTATTGTGATCTAAATTTCAATATTGTATTATGCTTTAATCTATTATTGTTTTAAAATCGTTTCATATATTATTTTATATATTCCACTATTTTAAAATTGTGGTTAAGGGAGGAATGTAATACAATATCATTTGGGATCTAAATTTCAATATTGTATTCTTAATTCATCTTTTATTTGTAACTCAATTTTAGACATATATAAAGTGACTGATTAATTGTAAGATTTAATCTATATCAGGTGTAGTTTGTTGAAATAATATTATGTAAGATTTAATAATGGATTGTACAAACATGTATACTCGGAGTGTCTATATGGTATAAGATTCAGGCTTAACACGTATTGACACTTTTTGTCTTGAGCTAAGATGTGTGAATCTTAATAATTACTTTTCATTGTTCTGATTACGAATGGTATTAACTATGGCGTGCCTTAACCGATATAAAAAGCGGACGTAAAATACAACTAACACTAACTAAGCAGGCAGGCAAGGGTACCTTAACCGATATAAAAAGCCTAGTTTACAAGCAGGCAGGGAAGGGTACAAAGGAGGGACAAGAGAGGCCCGTAGATGCTGAGAGGTCTCCCGGACCTCGGGAGAGGGTCTGCCCTCGACACCGGGCAGAGGGGTCCTGTGAGGCCGAGGGGAAGCAGCTATAGCTAGACGTAACTTCACCCAACCAAATAATGTTATTATGTACCTGTAAATATGTTGTCCAGTATTAAAATATCTTTTTAATAAATAAGAGTTATGTATTCTATCACAACGAACAACAAAAGATTCTGTGAGATGGGTGCCAAATCTCTTGACTGCGGATCCGAAACGTGTCAGATACCGTGAAGCAGACACTGATAATTTTTTGGCCCCGTCAAAATTCACACCTTTTTTCCAAAATTGAAAAAGGAACAAGCCGGTTGCCAGTTTCCTGATATAGTGATGATGTTATGGCTGTGAAGGACGTTTTTTTAGGGTGGCTGAAGAAAATTTCTTCCTGGCCAGCATTCTGGCCTTGCAACATCGTTGGCAAAAGTGTGTCGCCTCGAAGGGGACCATGTAGAAAAACAAGGTAACAGTGAGGCTGATGTCCCCCGATGAAATCCCAAAATAAATAGATGACATATAATAATTAATCGCACATTTTTTTTTTTTTCAAAAGTATCGAGCAAGCAAACTATAATACTAAGTTTCATCACTTTCTATCAGATAGAATCAAGATTATCTTGTCCCAAAGCATCGACCAAGGGAATTGCTTAGCTCTGCTTAGCTTTAGCTCGAAATGTAAATCAGTGAACTCAGTCAAGACATTCACCTAATGAACATCTACATCAAGTTTAAACATTCTACCTCAATTATAAGCAGAGTTGTTATGTTCCAAAGTCTTGACCAATCAAATTGCTTATCGCTCCTTAGCCTTAGCAGAAAATTCGCACCATCGAACTTAGTCAAGGTAATGATATAATAAATCTATCTTCGGAGTTTCATCGCTGTCACTTCATTATAACCAAAGTTATCGTGCACCAAAGCATCAACCAACCAGATTGCTTATCTCTGCTTACCATAAGCAAACAATGTTCATCACCGAACTCCATCAAGGCATTCACCTAATGAACGTCTACACCAAGTTTAAACATTCTATCTCAATTAGAAGGAGAGTTATTCTGTTCCAAAGTCTCGACCAATCAAATTGCTTATCGCTCTGCTTACCCTCAGTAGAAAATGTTCATTATCGACCTTACTCAAGGTATACATGTAATAAAGCTATACACCAAGTGTCCTCACTCTCACCTAATTAGAACTAAAGTTATCGTGTCCCAAAGCATCAACCAATCAAATTGCTTATCTCTGCTTACCCTAAGCAGAAAACTCTCATCTTCGCAATCCATTAAGTCATTGACCTAATAAACACCTACACCAAGTTTGAACATTCTAGATCAATTAGAAAAAGAGTTATTTTGTCCCAAAAAGTGTGACGGACGGACAGGCGGACGGACGGACGGACAGACGGACGGACCCATTCTTCGAAAGCCGGGGAACAATAAATGGACATCATCGACTTTGTACAGGTCTTTCACAGATGGCTTAGAACTTTTCAGACAGTGCTCGTATCATTCCATGTCTATGTTTTATTGATGTTCTTGAGAAATTCTTTTAGGATTGTATTCGCAATTGTGAGAGAAAACTGAATAAATTCAAAATAATATTGTCATTACTTAAAGTGGAGTAATAATAGCCGAAATCATAGAACTAAAAATGAAGAGAACACTAGCAATTACGCCATTAGTACCATTTAAAATTGTTCTCAAGTCTTCACAGGCTGGCGGTAGTGTCTTTATCCAAATTTGAAGAAGTATTTCTTGCGTTGCTGGACAGGTTTTTAACTTGGAATCATCAACATAGCACTTAATGTTCCATTCTTGTTCCCTGCAAGCATGATATAATGTAATTAACTAGCTGAGCACATTATATCTGCTTGCTTTTTACAGTTTTATTATTTTCGACATAATAAAGAATGAATATTTCTTGAACAAGTATCAAATGAAGAGAATTAAGAAACGTTTAGAACACTGTGTTCATGGCAACGTCTCGTATAATTTTTAGATAATACCAAGACTTATACTGTTACTTACTTGCACTTGTAGGTTTTCCATTTACTAAAGCTATCGCCAGCTGAGGGAGTCGTTAGTCCGCTGGATTTTGACTTTTCTGAAACACAACTCTTCAGCTCCTGAGCAGCTGATCTTATACACGTCTGGTTCAATGCTGAAAGACAAAATTATTGATTAAACATACATTATGCAAGAGCTAAATCTGCCAATTGCAGGCCTTTCTTTAGGCCTAAATTATTAATTAGACATTATTAACTTATCCAGACCATAATCAACTCTCGATGGCATCGCTAGCCCGCGATATTTACTGGATTAGAACCCGGTCTGTTGCTTCTGATTAAATCAAAAAAATGGATAATCGAGATTATGTTTTTATCGTACCGATTTTAGTAATGATGATCGAGGCTAGGCTCAAAATTCAATCGCTAAATACTCGATTCAGAGTGGATGAATTTGACAGAATTTTTTTTAGCAGATTCCCTTTACATTATCTAGTTTTTAACTATTATAGTGAGAACTACCATCTCTTTATCTAATCTCCCATATGTATCTTTAATATTATTAAATGTAAATATATAATAAGTAAGCAATCAGTCTGATGTAATGCCGAAATAAATACTGTACGTAATACATCCAAGACAAAGATGTCAAAAAACGATAACCGAGTAGACAGTAAATAACCTTCACTGAAGAAAATAGTTTTGGTTTACTAGCCAGATGTTGACGGAGATTGTTGCTCCGGACTTTTCGGACTGGCCGTGCCATGTTATTGACAAGGAAAACCACTTATTAGTCGTTGGGATAGGAGGGAAACCCGTGGTCTACCCTTGTACTCGTTCAACGTAATTATCAAACACACAAATATAACTACTTTACTATAAGCGTTCAGTTTTCTTCCTATACTAGAATAGCGTGTCCATCATTCAGGCGCATTCCGACTTTAAAATTCAAAAACCATATCCCACTATTTGCATGCCAACTTTCGATTTTTGGTTGCCCTTTATGAATGAATACAAAAAATAACTTACAGTTAACGTTTTCACAAAAATAGACATGGCCATCTTTGTATGACGTTATTGTGGGCGATAGACTTTTGAAATCGTCTGTTGAAAAACATAGGTTGGTGACATCAAAAATACAGGTTAGAAGTTGACTATATACTAAACGATTACTGAAAGCAATTTTAAAAAAAACACCTTATAAACAGAAAGAAAATAATGCCTTATCGTTACTCTTGTTGTCGATTCAAAGTAATTTTAATGTTCTGAGTTGCACGAAAAACTGTTACGTATAGGATATTAACCTACCCGATGTTGATATGATAGAGAACACGCGGGCGAAGCCCATGTTTTCTGTATCATATCAAACCGAGGGAGAGAAGGTTTATATCCGACATATATACAACTGGCGGTAGGTATTTTTTTCTTTGATGTGCATACGAGTTATATGTATAGGATATTAACCTATCCGAGGTTGATATGATAGAGAACACGCTGGCGAATCCCAAGTGTTCTCTGCCATATCAATCCGAGGGAGAGTAGGTTTATATCCGATATATACAACGCCATTTCACCCTTAAATTTAATGGGCTCTTCTATTAAAAGGCATCAATGATTGGATAATTGCTCGATAGTTTCCGCCAAATAGCGAACATTATCGAAGTAATCACGTGAAATTACGTGCATGTTTTTGTTTATACGTCGCCATTTGGAGTAATTCAATTGAAAGCAAAAACAAAATAGATAGTAATACGATGTCAGACGAATTATCGACTGTTTTAAGTGGACTGTACCCAAAAATACTTTACACAGGAACTCTTTGGCGATAAATACTTTCAAGTCTAGGAGTGTGTGGAGAAATAAGCGAAATGTGGACGGATAACCGATCTAAATATGCCGATAAGTACGCCGTCTATTTCGTGCCGAATGCTACAACTGTGCCATATAAAATTTTAATTGTCAAAAGAATAACAATTTATTTCTGTGTTCTTTGTATTATTTCGATCATCAACGTCATCCGCGGCTGATATGAACCGAATATATTAACCCGAGATGACATCATGCCAGTTTGATATGAACCGAATATATCAAACCTATGATGACGTCATGACAGGTTGATATTAGATATAAGGTCTATGCACATCAAAGAAAAAACTAGCGCCAGTTGTATATTATTAAGTAATGTCTTATATTTTTTAAGTCAAAAGACGTATTGTCGTTATCTTTAAATGGCATATAGAAGTAGAGGTATACTATTCATAATCACACAACTTTGTGGACTTACTCTTACAGATATCGTTATCAAGCAATGATCAATAATGATGCTGTTGTTTTTAGTGTTTAACGCCCGCTTCCACCGAGGATTATATCGCAGACAAGTTGTCTTATTGTTCTGTTTTCATTTTTTTTTATCTTTGCTGTGGGAGGAAACCGGAGTACCCGGATTAAACCCACGAGGTTGAGAAGGCGCCCCTGTCTCCAAGCCATATACGCTAACACCAGTGATCAAAACCACGACCGCCGGCCAGCCAGTGGGAGCTCAAAGCGTGACACCCTAGACCACTAGGTCATCCCAATCCCCCATCAATAATGAATAACAACATTATATTTATAGTACATCCATGGGTCCCCATTTTATTCTGGTAAAGAGAGGTAGTGAGGTCATATTCATTGGGAAATGGTTGTTGTTATAAGTCTTAATTAATGTTATATTTTGATTGTTAAATTGTTTTACTCATGGATGTACTTGATCATTGCATAATAACGATACCTGTAAGAGTATTGAAGCGTTGTAATAAACCAATAAGTAGTAAATTCATAAAGTTATGTTATTATGAACGTATTGACGTGGTTGATAGTCGAATTATTAAGAGTATAAATAAATTGGGGTTTACAGTCCGAGAGCTAATGGATGCGGGCAGACGCTAGACAATGTTTTATGAGGGAATTTTTGACCGGACAGTGGCGCTGCCGACTACTCATCATCTAATTCCCACTGTCAGTGTTCTAAAGAATTAACAATCCCCATTCATTAACTAAGTTGTTTATTGACAATAGTTGCTTAGCTGTATGAACTCCTCCAGTGAGATGTGGTATCGAATGTTCTAAAATAAATAAGTAAAATTGATATTGTCACAACTCACCAGCAGATCCGTGGTAACAGAACGTGTTCATCGCTTTTCATATAGACTCAGTATCGGGATAGAGATCTTGGTGGTCCAATTGACCCTGGGGTTATAATCAGGTACACCCATAACAAATTGGGGGATCACGTGGCTAAGTGGGTAAGACGCTGGCTCGCTAGCCTGGAGGTCGGGTGTTCGATCCCTGCATTGGCCGAGAAAGTTCATCCAGATTTTCCGGCGTGGTTTCTCCTTGTCAGTGATGCAGGACAGAGAGCCTGACAAGGACAGCTGTCTAGTCGTTTGGATGGGACGAAAAACCGAGGTCCCGTGTACACATTGGCGTGCACGTAAAAGATCTCTTGGCAGTTGGAATTCGATATAAGAGTAGGCCGTAGCACCGCTGCCCGGGCAAAATATCCCTCATAGCACACTGTATGGCGTATGCCCGTCTTCATTAGCCCAGTTTAGGAGCAGAACAGTAGGACGTTAAACCCCATTTCATTTCATTTCATTTCATAACAAATTGCCCTACCCTGCATGTGTAAAATGTATATACCTATTGCATATTGAAGAACCTTGTTGCAGAAAGTTTAGAGGATTGGTCAAAGGTCGGGTAACCTGATATGTATCACTACACTGGTTAATTCCTTTAGTATAGCCAGGACACTGCGATTTATCGGCAAAGTACTTGGCATCATCTGTTAAAAAAGACATGTGAGGTTAGTATTTATGACATAGTTAGCTATGGCTCCACTGCATCACAAGAATTGTCATTGTGTGAAAACCCGATATGCTCTGTTATCATTGTGAGGAAATGCAATCATAACTGAATCTTACTTTCTTCTGACAAACCCAGATTGAGCATAGTGATGTCATAATTATAATTTACAAACTGCTAAACTGTGATTCAAAATAACAAATGGCAGTTAATTTTACATTACATTCGCTTCTACTGAACTGCAGACAACAACAAATTCGGCATACGCACATTGTACTAATCATATAGTACGTTGATAGTACAATAGAAAGATAGTCGCTTTATTTTAGTGCCAGAGGAAAGATTACATGAACTATCCTGATAAAGTCACAGTATTCCACCTCATGGGTTTAACGTTGACCCGAACACGGATGTTTCCGCCTACTCTTATTTCGAATCCCAACTGCCAATGGTGATTTTACGTGCACGCCAATGTGTACATGGTACCTCGCCTTTTTGTCAAATCTGATCGACTAGTCACTGTCCTTGCCAGGCATTCCGTCATGCAACATTGACAAGGGGGGACACGTGGAACTTTCTCGACCACATCCGGGAACGGAATGAGTAGCCTATCCGTAACTGCAGTACGGTATGTAAGCAAGAAGGAAGACAATGTCGTACAGTAGCAATATAAATCATCCGGTTTGACCATTCCATGTATTAAATGAACCCCTTTATGACATCTTACCATGGTTGCATAGAAACAATATCCTTGTTGTTTAGATAATTTACGAACGTACTAATTAGCATTTATTTCTAAAAAACAATCCTTACCTTTGACAGCATTGTTAATCGTAGAGCCATTAGTGTTATTAGAACAAATCGGAGGTGCTGCTAATCTATTGAGTTCCTGCATTATGTTCAGTGTACTGGGACATGATTTATACTTCATATTCTCGGAAATACAAGCAGAACTACCTTCCTGACTTCTGTAATTATTATAAAAGGTTGTTAGAATACCATAAAGTTTTTAAATAGTATACAGGCTAAACAGTATCAACATATATAGCTCCATGATAGAAAATCCCATGAACTCAAATTATGATTAGGGAAACAACACTGAAAGTAACTGATCCACGCCTGTTAATTACGATAGTATTCATTTGTATATATAATTTTTAAACAGTCTTATCTGTAAATAAAATACCACTTTCGTATGATTAGGGCAACTAATTGCTGTTATCTGTATTATTTATTAAACAATCCAGATTCCTAAAGGGTTTCAAAATTTCTTATGTCTATAAAGTGGTATAAGGTTTCAATAACAATAAATTATGCACGACTCCCACAAAATTACATCATCTGCAGCTTTGTCGTCCGCGCTACATTAAGGCTTTTCAGCCCATGACTTTCGGTATTTATAGCACTCAATTGGGTTCGGTATGAGTGTGTTACTCAATATAACGATCCCAATTTGACTTGTAAGTTGGTCTAGAACTCAAATATACAAAATCAAAGTATCAACGCTTGAAAATATACCGGCTTGGATTCAATCGGATATATAAATCAAACCTTTCAATAAGTTTTCGAGGACATCAAAATACCGACAGGCTTACTGCATAGCGAGCAGAATAGATTGTAAATACTGAACGGATTAGAACTATTTTTGGACTGATATTCCTTTTAGAGATTGTAAGTAAGGGGCAAATAACTCGGGAAGTACTTTAATAAACAGACTCAAATTCGAAGGGATCATCCATAGACAATACTAATTCAAAAATACAATAAAAGTCTGTTAGCCATGGGAACTCCTCACACAAGGAGTAAGCCTATCCCGCACCGTTCACCACGCCATGGTTTGGACCTAGTTTACAGAAGCCGAAAACTCCAAGGGTTAAGATCTCGGGACCAGAAGCAGCTTAAATATTAACATACAACAAAAGTTTATTAGCTATGTAAAAACGGTTAGCAACAAGTGAAGTAACTAAAAATCGAACAACTCTATTCCTGAAAATCTGATAAATCGCGGTCACCAATCAAGCTATATATGTACAGTGAGTTCATTAAAAGCCATATCAATCTATCGGTTAGAATAATTATTGTGAAACTCTTTATCTCAAAACTAATTTTGATACTCGGTTAAGAACTTGATTATGTCGGTACAAGCCAGTAAGGGTAGATGGACGGACTAACAGAGATGGACTATAGGGCGACAACAACATAAAAACCTTAAAAACGTTAAAGAAGACTTTAATGCACCGCTGATCGACAAGAATGTTTAAGGTAGAGCTACATAGTGATAAATAGTACAACATATTTACTTGCAAAAGTAATCTTTCCACTTATCAAAACCATCCTCACGAGTTGGAATCGTAATACCAAAGTCTTGGAAATACTGTGAAGTACAATTTGCAGATTCCCCTCCACCTTCTATAGCACAACTAAAGTTAAAAGCTAAAAAATACGCAAACATAATATGGGTAGTTTGAGAATTACAAATGATCCAAATGGAAACCAGTGTAAACACACGAACGTCCACTAAAATGGGAATATTCTATATGGTTCAAATGACAGAATATATTCTCGTCTAATGACATCAAAACTAACATAGCACAAATATACAATTTTATTGACGAACTAATTAATAAGTTGGGCTCCCAGATCATTAAAGTTATGATTTTGTTAATATTTCTATACAAAAGGTTTGTCAGTGATTTTCTAGACCGTGTCTACAACTATAAATCTTAATCCTGTGTTAAAATAAAAATTCCAGATTTTGCTCTATGCAGGTTGTAATATCAACACTCTTTACATGAAACATCTAACCTCGAGATCGTGGAGAGAGTCAATTTCTTGTTATTCTAATGACTTTGTAAGAAATATTGATACTTCTTTTTTCGGCCATACATTTAATGAATTGCATTTGTCACGTTCCTATTAAGCCAGTGTTAGTTGTTGTCGGCCAAATAATACCAGATAGGTACCTTAATGATACAAATATTATCCATCATATTAGTCTAAAAGGCCAATTCTATAGTTAACCAATAATGTAAACAAAATTTGATGGGTAGCTAACTTGGATGGTACCCATAGGGCGGTAACCGCAGCAAATGCCAGAATAAGCGCAAATAGATTACTCGTATGCTGTTTGAAACTCGATGTAAAATAACTTACATTCTATGTTCTGGCAAAAATATGTGAATGCTGAACCATATGCTTCATCTGTAGGAAAAATGTTCATAAATGTACTCGACAAGCACTTGTCCATACTTCCTCGAATACATTTAATCAATGACAAATAATCTGTCTGTTTGCTGTAAATGAGAAATGTTCTACATCAGATATAAAGATCCTGGGCCCTGTTTCACGAAATCTTAACTAAAGATAAAAATCCAAATTTTAGTAGATACTTCGGTTTTGATTGGCTAAGCACTAAAATCAATCTAATATTATCCAATCAAATTACTAAAATTTGGATTTTATCTTAGTTAAAATTTCGTGAAACAGGCCCCTGGCAATAGTGAAATCTGAGGAGCTAACAAGAATACAACACAAAGGGCATTAACTCAATACAAACTGTCAAAGAAACTTGACAATGTTAATACTGTGGTTAAATTGTTTGAACAGTAATGTTTTGTACATCCAGGGATGTAAATTCGTGTAATAAAAGTTTCATCACCAACCAGACACAGTTGATGTATGGCAATAAAAATAGTCGACTGATTTGGAAATGATATATGGAGTTAATGCCTTGTCTTAAAACTGAATAATTTATCAGAATTCCAAAAAGATACCTAGATAGTTATTGTGACCATAAAGTGTACGCGAGGAGGGCGTAAAACACTAAAGGGAAATAAATCTCTTTCGGTTCGTGGTCCTTAAAATAAGTCGCTTGAAGACATATTTAGAAGAAATGATAATGAAATGAAATGGGGTTTATCGTCCTACTGTTCAGCACCAACTAAGCTAATAAAGACGGATATACGCGATACAAGTGTGATATGAGGGTAATTTTGCCCGTACATCGACCCACTCTTATATCGAATTCCAACTGTCAAAGATTATTTTAAGTGCACATCAATTTGTACACGGTTTTCGCGTCATCCGAACGACTATACGCTGTCCCTTGGCAGGCCCCCGTCCAGCACCACAGATAGGGGGACGATGGTTAAGCAACCCAGAAAATCTTACAAAATTTTCTCGGCTAACACCGAGCCACCGCGATCCTCCATTTTTAGTAGAACGTCACATTGCAAAGCTGCTTTACAGCTGGGGTAGCTTTCCTTAAGCTACATGTATATGAATATGGCCAAACGAGGAAAAAAACTTACCTACACAGGTCAGAAGCATTCTGTGAAAATATATTCAAAGCATTTTCAGAATCACCTTGAATTACGGGATATTGAGTCGCACATTGAGTAATGTCATCAGTATACGACGTACATTCTTTGAGTTGAAAAAAAAATCCTTGTCCGTCAACTACATGGGTTAAAACTGAAACGAAATTCGATTTCTATCATATGAATTCTCGGGCGTTGGATTGTCGACTTTAGTCAATCCGGTATTCACAAAATATATTCTGATCGATTGAAATTAGTCGCATTGTAAATTGTACAGATTTTAATCCTTATACAGGAAATTTTAACTTAGGTTTTACAACGCGGGATATTTGAACCTGGTACTTTACAAAGATTACTGGTTGACTAAAACACGCATGGCGATATTATAATCAATTTCGTATCAATTTCGGACTGATACGATGTAAAGCTCGGCTTTGTCTTGGTTTTACGATCGCATCTTCGCGCTAATTAAACACACATTATGTAAGATTTAGATAAAGAGCTTGTCATCCCTACTATAATAAAGATAATGCTAAATGAATTTATAGAAAATTTCGTTTAAATTGCTCTAATGAGAGCGAAGATATTAGCTTTTGGAGGTTTGACAAGACGTGTGTATTAATTGCAACCACTGCACTGCTTGTTCGAAGCTTAGCCCTGCTTCACCATTTTTAGATTAAATCAAAATATGGATGAACTGTTCTAATCTACTTAATATCGGAGATATCCGATGGCATCGAGAGTTGAATATGGTCTTGTCATGTTAATAAAAATCTAATAAATAGTTTATATAGACCTGCAATAGGCAGATTTAACTCTTGAATAATGTTTGTTTATTGAAAACTAGATTATTTACGTATACCACTGTACGGTTGCGCTTAAATACACGGCAAATGCGATCAAAATACACACGGTTCCTTGGCGGAAGTTGAAATTAAAGGTTGCAAGAAACCATATTTTATGCATGAAATAGAAAGCAATGACATCCAAGAAACATTAAAATATTAAATGTGATTGATTTAAGATGAAACATTAAAACTGGCTCATTTCCCTCCAAATTATAAAAGATCTCAAAACGGAGAAATCTCTAACATATATGTATGTTGTTTTAGAACAATTCATGTATAACTAAAAATCAACTACACGCATACACGGTAACAATTGTAAAAGCTTGCCTAATGCAAAGTTTCGTCACAATCCTCGACTTCTTGACTTTACAAATGCAGCACTCACAGATTGAAGTGTATCAGGTGAGTCTATAAACATGGTATACCTTCATTAACCTAGATACGAGACAAATTTAAATTAATAATCACGATGAATGTATGTTTATAAGTGATTTGGCCGATATAGGAATTTCTTGCTAACTACAATATTTTAAAAGTGGCTTAGACCGTGACAATTATATTTTCCGAAAATGCAAATCGCGAACATTACTTTAAATACTTTAATTGAGTATTTCTTGGCTTTAATGCAAAATGTGAAACTGGGTATTAGTCTTTAAATTTAAGTTAATAATTTCAACATATTTGCGCATATATCTACGCATATTTAACCGGCGTTACACTTTTCGAAACACATGGCACCGATTTTTTTGTTAGCTAACTCCAGTAATTATAATACCTTGCACTGATATTAGCCACATAAATTAATATGCCACCTTGTATTTACAAACCTCTAAGTTAAATACTTATTAGAATCGATGGAGTGTATATTGCTTTAAAGCTAGTCTCCGTGAAGCTCCATGTATATTTCAACTTAAAGATGCATTATGTAAGAGCTCAATCTACCTTTTGCAGGTCTTTATTATAGCTTCAAATGTTATATAAATTATTATTCAGATATTTATTCACGTGACAACGCATTAAACAACACACTGTTCCATCGGATGACTTAGACATTGAACGGATTAGAATCCTCTCATCATTTAATAATTTAACAATAAAATGGGTAATCGAGATTTTGTTTATTATCGTAAAACTGACACTTGGCAACCAGACTATCTTGTCTAAATTTCAAACACCATAACTTCGCTCAGAATAAAAGTCATTTGAATGAAATTATATAGCAATAACTCTTCATATAATTCTTACATAATGCATATTTAACCGTTGCGGTCAATAATCTTTGCTCGTTCAGTATATTTATATAGCTACTACCTCCAATACGTTGTTGTTTTCCATACAGGCAATACGTTAACACATTATTGAGCAATTACCCATCTACATGTACATGGAAAACAGCCTTTTGATACCACAATTCGATTCGGCTACTATACGCTCTCACGTCGCTACGCGACGCTTCGTTTTCGGGACTTTGTCCCTCAATTATTATTGTCAGACCCCCCACTTCGGAAATCGCTCCGCAGCCTCTGATCCTTACCGATGTGTGAAGAAAGAAACCATTTCAGTCAATAAATTATTATTATTACACATTTCTATAGCGCACAAATGCCATATTAATGCATCCCTGTGCTTTACAAAGACATATAGAGCAAGCACACTTGATAAAATAGCTCTAGATCACTGTGTGAAAGCCTTTTTAAATAAATGTGTCTATAATTTTAAAGTAACGATAGTAGTGACATTACGAATTTGAATTGGTAATATATTCCATACAAATGGTGTTTGTACATAGAATGACCGTTAACCATATGATGATATGGAAGCCTATTGCGGCCATTTCATAATCTTGACTTTTCGCCGCGAGAAGTCGAGGGTGAAAACACGAGGGAGCGAGAACACGAAGGAGCAGAAGTCGAGTGTGAGTACGCGAGGAAATAGGGCGAGAACACGAAGGAGCAAAAGTCAAGTGCGCGTACGCGAGGAAATAGGGCGAGAATACGAGGATTTCGCCCCGAGAACACGAGCTTATTTTCACCTCGACTTCCCGCTCCCTCGTCCCTCGACTTTTCGCTCCCCCGTGTTCTCTCCTTTGAAAATCCTCCTGTTCTCGCACTCGACTTCTCGCCCTCGACTTCTCGCTCTCTCGTGTTCTAGCCTTTAAAAATCCTCGACTTCTCGGTCCCTCGTGTTCTCGCCTCGGAAGTGCAATGTATGCGCATGTCCACTAACTACCGTATCGGCATTTGTATTTGAACATGGATTCAAATGGGTTCTAGAAAGTTTAATAGTCCTAACCAATTTTAATCTCGAATTGCACAGATAGTATTAAATAAATGTGTCTATAATTTTAAAAGTAACGATAGTAGTGACATTACGAATTTGAATTGGTAATATATTCCATACAAATGGTGTTTGTACATAGAATGACCGTTAACCCTATGATGATATGGAAGCCTATTGCGGCCATTTCATAATCTTGACTTTTCGCCGCGAGAAGTCGAGGGTGAAAACACGAGGGAGCGAGAACACGAAGGAGCAGAAGTCGAGTGTGAGTACGCGAGGAAATAGGGCGAGAACACGAAGGAGCAAAAGTCAAGTGCGCGTACGCGAGGAAATAGGGCGAGAATACGAGGATTTCGCCCCGAGAACACGAGCTTATTTTCACCTCGACTTCCCGCTCCCTCGTCCCTCGACTTTTCGCTCCCCCGTGTTCTCTCCTTTGAAAATCCTCCTGTTCTCGCACTCGACTTCTCGCCCTCGACTTCTCGCTCTCTCGTGTTCTAGCCTTTAAAAATCCTCGACTTCTCGGTCCCTCGTGTTCTCGCCTCGGAAGTGCAATGTATGCGCATGTCCACTAACTACCGTATCGGCATTTGTATTTGAACATGGATTCAAATGGGTTCTAGAAAGTTTAATAGTCCTAACCAATTTTAATCTCGAATTGCACAGATAGTATTGGTCGTTCGTATGGGACGAAAAACAGAGCTCCCGTGTATACTTTGGCTTGAACGCAAAAGATCCCTTGGCACTTGGAATTCGGGCACAATTTCTCTTATAGCAAACTGTATGACGTATGCCCATTTTCATTTGCTCAGTCGGAGCAGGACAGTAGGACGTTAAACCCTATTCCATTTAATTTCATCAAAGTTTACCCTTCTCAGTGGTGAAGGAAGGATTGGATAACAAGACCGAGGTCCCGTGTCCGGATTCGAAATAAAGTGGTGGCTCGGTGCGTAGGACGTTTGCTCTCTTCATCACAGTTCATTGTGAATTTTCTGGCGGGGTTCCCCCTTATGAGTGGTGTAGGGCGGAAGACCTGGCAAGGTACAACATGTTCGGACGTCAACAAAAACCGATAATAATTGTTACCTTTATATGTGTATATTAGAAAATAACGTTTTAAGACACACTTTAATGCATAATATGTGGCTCCAAGATGTTTATATTTTTGAATTAACAGATGAATAAGTTATGAACACGAGGATTTTCAAAGGCGAGAACACTAGGTAGCGAGAAGTCGAGGTGAAAATAATCTCGTGTTCTCGGGGCGAGATCTTTTCCTCGCGTTCTCGCACTCGACTTCTCGCTCCCTCGTGTTCTCGCACTCGACTTCTCGCTCCCTCGTGTTCTCGCCTCCCCGTGTTCTCGCCCTCGACCACTCGCCCCTTCGTGTTCTCGCCCTGCGAGAAGTCAAGATTATGATATGGCCGCAATGGGCTTCCATATGAAAATAAATTATTAAAGTACTATATATTTTATGTAACCCATATACTCCAGAAAACAGTTATATACCATCTACGTTAATTATTGTTTAAAGAGTAATAAATAGAATTCCATACCTATAAAGGTGGTTAATGGAAGTAGCTTCAGAATCATTTCAGCTGTATTCTATCCACTGTAGAACGAATTATTAGATCGCATAACCGACGTATTTCATCAATATTATTGTGAAACAGCTATTTACAAAGGGAGCATATATTAATAGTGCAGTCACGCCTCTTACCGTGTGACTGTAAACTGAACTGAGGTGACCTTGCCCTTGATCTGTAGTCAAACAAAACCATACCCCATCTGTGACTACTGTGTCGCAGTGCATTATTTCACTGAATATATTCAATTATTTGTTCAGTAATTAAAGATATGTTTGTTTATGCGATTTAAACTCTAGAATGATCAAGTGTAGTATACCGGGGTCAATCAAAATAAGAGGCTCATGCAGGGATAATTAGCTGCTAGGTTGATTATTGTGAAATCGCGGAATGAGTTATGCAATAATTAATCCGAGGGAAGATTGTTTTCACTCCATATGGTCAATAAATACTATAAGACCGGAATATTTTCAGACGGTATACTAGATTTGACGTCCAAGCAAACATGATGTCGAGATAAAGGGGTGCAATGAGGTTTTCTCGTGAAATGAAATGTCGTTTTCAACATAGATGCTGGTTTCTTAGAAAAATAACCCATTTTCCCAACGTAAGTTTTCATATCAAGCGTGTATGACCGCGACCATTGTATCCCCGCTGTCTTTATTACCACCTTTTTGAGAGAGAGAGAGAGAGAGAGAGAGAGAGAAATTGGGTTTAACGTCCACTCGACACAAACTAGGTCATTTCGGCACTAACACGTGGTTCAATTTTTTATTTCAATAATTCGTTTGCGCGTAGGGGTCTTTAGCAGTGGGAGGAAACCGGAGGACCCGGAGAAAAACCACGAGGTTGGACAGGCGACCTTACTCCTTGTCACGTACAACCGGGGAATCGAAACCCCGCCAGTTGACTCAATGACAGACCTTATGATACATCGCGCGCGTGTTAACCATTCGGCGAATTTCAGTTATATAGAAGGATAACCCGTATTCTCCTTTTGTGTTCGTCACTTCCTTTTGTAGAAACCTTTATTACTCATCTATCGTAGCAATGATCTCTATGTTAAAATTATATTTGGAACGTGTTATACCAGTTCTATAACATATGTGATAATGACTGGCACCAATATTGTCCTTTAATCATTGAACTCAGTCAAGCCATTCACCTAATGAACATCGACATCAAGTTTAATCATTCTACCCTGAACAGAAACGCTCATTCTAGAACTTAGTCAAGGTATTGATGCTATGAAACTATACACAAAGTTTCACCACTCTCACTTAATTATCGTGTCCCAAAGCATCATAAGTTAAACTGCTATTCTCTGCTTACCCTTAGCAGAAAATGCTCCTCTTCGAATTCCATCAAGACATTCAACTTATCAACGCCTACATCAAGTTTGAACATTCTACCTCAATTAGGAGACTTATTGTGTTCCAAAGTCTCGGCCAATCAAATTGCTTATTGCTCTGCTTACCCTGAGCAGAAAATGCCCATTATCGAACCTAGTCAAGGTATTGATGTAATGAATTATCGTGTCCCAAAGCATCAACCAATCAAATTGCTTATTTACGCTTATCCGAAGCAGAAAATTCGCATCTTCGAACTCCATCAGGACATCCACCTAATAAACACCTACTCCATCAACACATTCACCTAATAAACACCTACACCGAGTTTGAACATTCTAGCTCAATTAGAAGGAGAGTTATTGTGTCCCAAAAAGTGTGACGGACAGACCCATTTTATTAGTCCCCTGCCAACGAGATTTCCTGTTAACTTAAAGGGGGCTTATGGGGACTATTCCATTAGAATTAATATTTTCTCAATATCCCTGGTCCTCGAGGTCAAAAAGGGTAAACGGTCCCTGACACTAACCACCAAAAGTTATCGGTACATACTTTTGATCTGTTTCTGGTGTGTTTCTGACAAAGCAAAATTACACCTACACCCCCGGTGGTCCTCAACTATTGAATTCAAATTCATTGTGTCACAAAAACTGACACGCATGAACGAACGTGGCCTTTTTAACATTTACCTGCTTTCTTTGAAGGCCGGGGAACATTAATCGGAATTGACTTCTAACTAATTTGTAAACCTCAAATTCTATGAAAGATAGCAATTAATAATGTTCAAATGACACACAAAATCAATTGAGGGCTTTCTTATTCGTAGTCGGTTTACTTTGAAATATTGCTCCGAGTGTACGTTACGCTCCTTTGACAGACGCCAGAATCAGTTTAAGAGTCTTGAGACAACTGAAGTTTTAGAAATTTCTCGACCCCAAGGAGACAAATCACCCTGGACCCACCTGCGCCCCATTGCTCCAGACTCATTGTCCTGGATACTACTAAAGTAAAGACATGAAATGAAATGGTGTTTAACGTCCTACTTCCCCGTGCATCCGGGCTAATGAAGACGGGCATAGCTATTTAATTTGGGAAATTTTGATTGCCTTCTCTTATTTTTAATTCAAACTGTCATGGGTATTTTTAGGTGTAAGCCAACGTATAGTTGTTGAACTGTAATAAGGAGGCACCGAGTTTTTAATTTTATACAGTACATTACGTAACATGAATCTGCAATATCGACCTGTTTCACACGGGATTGAACTTGCGTGCTGTTTAACGGTCGAGAGCGAGACATTAAGTAATGCAATGGTACTTCACAAGGGCGTTAGCACAACTTTTGTATCAATATATTACGCAATGTTTTGCTCGAGACCTTTAAAACTAACTTAACACACTATCCCGCATATAAATTAGTTTGATATTGGCTCACTGAGTCCAATATTTTCCGTATAAATAATGTAAGATCTGCTCAGTGTAATAATGGTACTTCAACACAAAAGAATGATCTCACATCTGTATTTTAACATGGCTAATATAGCCACACCTGAGATCGACAGACCATCTTCATCCCCTTGTATTCTTATTTCAAATAAACTCATGTTTACGCAGAAGTAAATTTTTATTCTAATCAAAGACAAGATAAAAAAAAGACAATTTTAAGCAGGTAACACAAATATTAAACCTAAGCATATAACACAAAAAATGAGTGTAAGATATAGAGAATCTCCTACCAGTCTTTTTTGATATCATTCGTAGATAAAGTAAAAAAAAACTCGGCAGAGATTTTATTTATCACCCAATCCCTTCTTACATGCACAAATAGATAAATATAATTCTTTGCTGTAGATTTTACTTTTACTGCACATTACAGCGTAGTGATATATCATTTTTTGACAACAATTCAACCATTGCAAAGTCCTTTATATTGACCCAGTATTTCCATCAAGGTCAATTGAATAACAATAGTTCATTTTTAATTTTAAAAAAGTTACTTTTAATAAGAAATGAACTGTTCTTTGAAAATAAAAAAAGTAGTTCCTTTTAAACTGACCAATCAAATTTATGTAAAGCGATATCTCCTTATGAAATATATCACACAAGCGATATCTACTGTAGAATGTATTATTGGGTGATAAATAAAATTATATATATTATTGTAAAATTGTAACTTAAAATCTTGGGATTATATATTCGTACGTTTCTTAGATATGTCATTAAAATAGCTTTCAAAAGTAGATGAATAATTTTTATTACGGAATGTAAGGTATAATTTTTTATTACGGAATGTAAGGTAACGGAATGTAAAATATAATTTTAATTATGGAATGTAAGGTATAATTTTCGTTTTCCTCAAAAGAAAAACTTTATCCAAAACTCTTAGAGTCATAATAAAATCAAGCTAAACAGTATCTTTTATTCCAAATATATAAAAGTCAGAAAAACAAGGCAAGTGCAGGTACATTCTTATCATAAACATAAAGAAAAAACATAAGATAAGAAAATAAAAGTCAATTTGTGTATTTGAACCGAATTAAAAAAAGAAAATCATGAGAAAACATCCTAAAAAGAAAATAATTTTTTTATGTAATTTTAATTGAGAATATACCATACATATTTATTGATTACGGAAAATAGTCAAAATTTCCATGTCCGATAATAGTTGAACCATAGTTTCTAAGCTCCTTCAATTCCTTTCACCGTGTCAATGAAATAACCCAGGATGGAGATTTTTCAAATCATATGAGCTAAGGAATATAGCAAGTGCATGTATTACTTTTAAACTTTGGCTCAGCGGGTAATCTTAGTTTATTTCTATCTTATGGAAATATCCAAAGTAGTGTGGTTAGTTAATTTTCTTTGATTACATAGTTAGGAACGATATTATTACCAACAATTAGATATACATGTATTCATTAAGACATACAAACTATAATATTATTCTTTCTGAAAATAGTATTATAATAATAATAATTTTAAAACCCCCGCCATACAAATTAATTTAGTTATCTGCAATATTGCCCATGCCTTTTCTCGAGAGGTGTTGCATTACTTCCATTATCAGCATAACGTTCCCAGGCAACCAATACACTCCCACATGCAGCACATTAAAGGGTGTCATCCAAGTTTTCAGGAGCTATAACCACGCAAGACAAACAATGCCAGAAGTATGGTAAAAAAACATCCCATACCCTCTTAGATGTGGAACAGTTGCGGTGACAGAGGCAAAAAAATGTATAAATTTGGAGAGCAACTCTAAATTTCGGTAAGGTTCTCTAGTATGACGAATACTCCAAGGGCTGTAAAATGTTTACAAGCACATGTCTTAATTCAGGACAGACATACGTACATGGCACTCAGATTTCAGCCTACCTATTACTTTTATACGATTGGCTGCAATTCAAAGGAGTTTTGTTTAGAGAATCAGATAACTTCAACCCATTTTCTAAGCAAATGTTTATTTCTAATTTGCGTCAAACGCATTTACATCGACAAGGGCATAAATTCCGATAGAGGCCATCTTGATAAATTCCAGAAAGTTTCAAATTTACTCCTGGAGCATTTACAAGAATTAAGAGTGGACTTACGAAATTGGTACACGACAATATACACCCACATGAAATGCTGGCCAATAAAAACCGCATTGCTCGTAAAAAAACAAATTTTAGGATACTATTAATAAAATTAAATGTTAATATAAAAAAATAGAAATTACAGTAGAAACATTTGTAGTAAGGCTTATTATTCTGGACTATGGTCACATACGTTGTATTTCCAAAGTTGCTCAGTTTTATAAAATAATTAGCCGGGTACCTATACCCAATGCCTTCTTTTTATTCGACGTCCAAATTCGAATCACACAATTACTTTAGTTTTAGAATATCATTTCCTGTTGTAAGTCCTTTTGAAAAAAAATCATTCTTATTTTACTAACTTAATTATAAATCAAATATTTTCCGAGCTAATAATTAATAACCATAGTCCCTACCGTACCTCCCCTTAGTGGCAAATATACTTTGAAAATATCACCGATAGCATTAGTAAAAGCATGTGTGAAACTACCCTGATGGTGCCACAAGCCGCCGGTGTTATCATCTTGGATACCTCAATTAATGTTGTGCGAGTATCTTCACATGAGCTTAATTTTGTACTCTTTGTATAACAGTCAATCCCTGTATTTAATGTGCTGTAAAACAAACAGAAATTCATCATTGTTAAAGGACCTAAGTCCGTAACTCAAAATCCTCCAAAATCTTCGACATCGAAAACACGAATTATTGGTCAATTTAAATCAACATTGATGAGGTAAACTTACCGGGAAAAGATGAGCTTCTGATATCCGATATTTAAGATAAAATAATTTTTTTAACATTGGTACAGGAATCGTGTACCATAATGCGCTTCAGCCCCAATTGTATTGAGAGACTCGAGGGACGAGGCTAGACACATTGCACCAAATCAAATGGAGTTATGTAGACTAGAATAACTAGACGCTAGAAATTTGCACTCGATTGAGATTGCTGACTTATTTCGCCGAACATAACTGATTTGAAATTGGAGTAAAAACGGAAACCATTAAATGTAAATCAGTTTATATACATTCATATTACAGTATTATATGCGTTGCGACCCACTTTTCTGAATTTCTAGGTCCCAAATGTTAGCGATTTAGCTCCTTTAATTACTCTAACAGAGAACATAATCTAAAGTGTGCACTGAGTAGGGTGAGGTTTAAAATATGCCACAGGTCGAGGAGTCGGGACCAAACTATCTGTTGGTCTGTGAAGCGTTGTAAGCTCCGGGAATACTTTGCATTTTTAATACATCTAGCTTTAAAAATATATTTCCAATTGGCAACTAATATTTTGCGCCCTCGGGGCCCCTTGCAAAGTGGCTTGAAAAACCAAACATTTATCATTCAACGGTCATATAACCCCCAAATTTAATAAAATTTTGTACAATTCTGTCCTTTTGTAGCGGCCTTTCGAACCCTTTGTAACACTAACCCATGTTGTATTAATTGTATTTAATGTATTCTGAAATGGACATCCAAGTAGATATCATATTTCTTTGGACTTTTAATGATTTGTTCTATAACATGGATATAAAAGATAATTATTATGATTTTATGTGTGTCATATAAAATAATAACATTTGAAACTTATATGAACGTCATTACTACAATTGGTTTATCTATTACTATATAAACTATTACTGATTTTGATCCGTATAAATTTCAAGAAGAAAATACTTTTATAGGCGGATTTGGTTTACCCGGGCCTTCAACTACAAGATAATCTGCCGGTGAATTCGTGTGAAAGAGAGGGGGGGGGGATATATTCCCCCCCCCCCCCAAAAAAAAAAAAATAAAAAAAAATATTTATCATACTTACGCGCAATAATAGGTTTGGAATTCGTCAAATGCCGCATCCGCACCCAATGCAGTAGGACTATTTTTTGATAAGCATGTGGCAATTTCTGAAACGCTTTCGATAAAGCATGTTGAATCAAAAGCTGAAAAGGTATTTTAGTTACTAAGCTATATCAATACACCAATAATTAGCTATTAGATAGATTTTTTATAAACAAATCACTGGAAATTGAATGAAAGGCTGTTTCAAAATTGGAAGTTATGGAAACGCTTAAAGATACATTATGTAAGATTTGGATAAAGAGCTAGCCATTCTTGCTATAATAGTTCGAAAATAGATAATTCAAAATGAATAATTTGAAAACTTCATTCAAATTACTCTATTGCGAGCGAAGATATTAGCCTTTGAAGATTTGACAAGATGTGTGCAATAATTTCAACCACCGTACTGGTTGTTCGAAACTAAATCGTGCTATTCCATTTTAAACTTAAATCAAAATATGGCTGAACTGTTCTAATCTATTTAATATCGGAGAAATCCGATGCCATCCAGGGTTGATTATTGCCTGGATAACGTCTAATTAATAATTTAGAAAACATTTCAGGCCTAAACAAAGACCTGCAATAGGCAGATTTAGCTCTTGCATAATGTATGTTTAAAGAAGCATTATGTAATATATAAAGAGTGGGTCGTTGGTGCTTCAGTTAAATTACTTTATTCTGAGCGAAGTTATCTGTGTTTGAAGTTTTGACATTTTAAAGTGGAATTATTAAATGACGTGGGTGTTTTAATCCGTTTACTATATCGACCATCCGATTGTCTATAGAGCTTATTATTGGCTTGTCATGTGAAACAATGTCTAAATAATAACTTATATTACATTTGACACCAGATTTGTACATTGATTTGTACAAAATTATTTTCCTCATATTTTGCATGACACCCAACACAAAAGCCTCCAACGGAATTATCATGGCGAGCGAATAATATCCTCTAAAGATCAAATTAATCTACTGCCATGTGTTTATATTTCAACTTATACTTACTATCAATTCGGTCACAGAAATAAGTTAAGGCTGACGCATACTTTTCTGCCGATGGGAAGAGTGTCTTGTAATCATCTGTTAGACATTTTAAAGTTGCATCCACTATACAGTTCATCAATTTTTTGTATTTTGAGATAACACTGTAAGCAAAAGAAAATTGTCAGCACCAGAGATACCAATATCAAAATCGACATTCCTCGATGTAATCCATTAATTTCTGTCGTACTTTTGACCCTGACTTTGCCTTCCGGTTAAAGACTTGTAGCTAATGAAGCGAAGCCGAGGAGAGAACAATGCGAAGTTACAGGTAATCATGGCTTCGACTGGTATTTCGTGTCCTCTTGCCATCGCATTGTGAACTCAATAGTGAAGGGAAGCAACAACGGATAGAAATTAAAACCATTTGTCACGGATTCTTGTGGATTGTAATTTCAAAACAGAAGCCGGCATCGGCTTTTTGGGTAATTTATGTTATCAATATATTGATTAAGATTTGTCCGTTCTTGGTGCCAGCTAATTTCAGTTAAAACACAATTGCATAGATATTGTAATTACAACATTCCTACAAAATATTTTTCGTGTGGTAGTTCATGACTTAGTGGTAGTAGTGCTTGTGGTTTAAGGTCATCGACCGTGGTGATATCGTGGACGAGTTTTTGTGTGGTTACACGACCATAAATTAATATATCCCTAGAAAGATATCATCAAACTTTATGTAGGGGTTTGGGAAAATATAATTTGAACAATAATTCACCACAGGTTACAAATCTACAACAGTCGGCCTAAATTCATCAAGCAGTTTTTAAAAAACTTAGAAATTTCAAATGTTAACCGACAAACAATAGTTTTGACTACCAGAATATTACTAACCCACACATCGATGAATTTTGACCGAAAATATTCAAAGCCGCTGCACCCGTTATTCCAATAGGATAAGTGTTCACGCAAGTTTGAATATCAGTCGTGTAACTGGAACATTGTTCAAGGCCAAACTGACCACTTGCAAGATTGCTGCATCCTATAATAAAACATTTAAACATATGATGGTAACTAACAACCCAATGGTGAGATTGATGTCCCCACCAATCCCAAAATAAATAGAGGCCATCCCTGGTACATAGGCACAGGAAGACCCTTATTCATTAAATGTGTCCCCGTGCGTGATCATTCACAAAAGTTTTTTTTTAATTTTGTCCTTTCACTTACTCTAAATGCTTGATTTAGGCGGCGGGGCAGGGTAAAGAGAGATAGCGAGAGTTCGCGCTTTAGCAGTGGGTTGGGGGGGGGGGGGAGAAAATCCACGAATTTGGACAGGCGGCCCTATTCAAGCGGGGAATGGAAACCATACCATTTGACTCAGTGAATGACCTTATAATCTAACCATTCGCCCACCCGCCGCGGCACTACGGTGGCGTATTCTTTATTTCGAATTATACTGTCAAGGGTTCTTTACGTGCACTATGGTCTACTTTCATTTTGAATTCCAACTGCCAAGGGGTCTTTACATTCACACAGATGCACCACTGATAAGTGGGAACCACGCCGAAAAATATCGATGAACATAATGAGAAAAATGTCACGGTCGTGTGCTTTATCCTTTATCATCAGATGGTGGGATGGGATGGGCATTCAAAGCGTTTGATTTTCTCTGCGTGAATGTATGCCTACGTGATTTGGAGACGATGGTGGCATCATGCCTTGTCAACTGTCAAATTTCCTTAACAGGAATCTGGCCAACCCCCTCCTGCAAAAATTCCTGGATCCACCCTTGCACTATAATAGGTTGATGTTTATTCAAAGTTTCATGAAGATATCTTGAATGGTTTATGAGATACGCTCCGGAAACAAAATTGTCCACCAAAAACTAAGTGAAATTTGTTTCCATCAAAACACAAGAAATAAAAACAAGAAATTTCAAATTATTAAAAGGCACACCTACTGTTATAGGTTGATGCGTGTACAAAGTTTCATAAAGATATCTTTAACGGTTTATTTGATATGCCCCGGAAAGAAAATCTTACACCAAAAACTAAGTCAAATTTGTTTCCATGGAAACACACAAATTATTAAACCCGAGAAATTCAAAAATAGGTTGAGGTGTGTACAACGTTTCTTGACTGAGTTACATTATTAACATTTCCCATCAAATAAAGCTAAACAATTTCGTTGGTCGATGTTTTGGGACAAAATAACTTTGTCTCTAATTCAAAACCTTGACCGAGTTTGATCGTGAACAGTTTATGCCTGGACTAAGTATAGATAATCTGTTTGACTGCTTGATACTTCTGAAAAAAGATAAATGTGCAATTAATTCATATGTGCCATCTATGTAGTTTGGCGTTAGCCTCACTGTTGGCTTGTGATTACGCGCCCAACAAAGTTAAAGAGGGATATTGAAATGGGGTCCGTCCGTCAGTCCGTCCGACCGTCCCAATTTCGTTTTCGGAGCATATCTCATAAGGGCCCATTCCTTTGTATTACATAATTTAACACTATTTGCGTACCGGGAGTGGCCATTTTGTCGGGAAGTTTCGGTTCGATATTCACAAAATACGAACTCAAACGTCATTATGGTGTAACAGTGATATATTTGAACGGTGTTTAAAATCGGATAAACATTATAACCTCTAGAGGGATCAAAAGTTAAAAACGTGAATACTAGTACAATCAAGGGGCATAATTCAGTACGTATGCAAGGTACACATCCGCGTGACATAGTTTACTCAGAGCGTAGTTCACAAATCCATCCACAAAATGCCGAATTGTTCTCTGTGATGGCCACTGGATTATCCAGAGAATGGCACACCCGTCAAAGATAATGACTTCTGGCTTCGGTAGTGTTCGAGATGACAGCTCGACTTGAAGTTTTTTCTTCAGGGTGGACTTTGTTTTGTTTTTGTTTTGTTATCCTCATGTCACCATTGTCTTCAAACATTGCAGTTGGTGAAGTAGCCAACTCAAAAATGAAAACATCTTTCAATAATGTCGCGCGAGGCCATCAATCCCATGACTCTAGAGTAGATGAGCTCTGCGTCAAAAGTGACTCCAGAACCAGGTCAACTGGATTCATATTCAACCATTTGCTTCCTCACCACATCAGTAACCTTATCAACATTCAGACTCGGAACAAATCCTACCAGATATTATATTGACTACACCCTCATTAGTTAAGTTTTCATCGGAATCTTGTTTTTCTCTGACTGATCGCTTGTCTTTTAAATCGGAAATCTTGCGAGCTGGCATTTCTTCCATGTAATAAAGGACCTTCTGAGAATCCGCGTTCATTTCTCTCATGGCAACCACGCCTTTCATAAGACGGCTGCTGGTGTGTAGACTAAGGGCCCACCTTTTCATTGCCGATGGATTAAGAGTTATTCCCACAAGTCCACCAGGTCCGTGCCAATACCTTTCAATGAACATGTCTGACCACATGCAATTTCACAAGCCAGGTTTATGGCTCATTACATGTTCACCTTTGAGAAGGCTAGCGATATAACCCGAGTATGAGCCGTGTCAATGCATTCACCTAATAGACACCTACACCAAGTTCTCAGCCAATCTGATCAAAGTCTCTACTTTGCCCAGAAAATTCTCAGTATTGAACTTTATTAAGTAAGGCATTGATGTAACGAAACTATACATAAAGTTTCACCACTATCACTCAATTAGAATCAAAGCTGTGTTCAGCCAATATTCCTAAAGAAATGGAATTTTACCGAATCTGTCTGTTGTCTAGGGAATTCTCACAAGTATGATAGGTTTGTAGCTTTGGGTTTCGGACCTTCAATTATCTAATTGGTCAAATATGATGTAAATAATTAGAGAGATTGGTTAATTGAGCCAAATGACATCAAAACCCACCCTTATATGGTAATGGAAATTTACTGGAAAAACTTCCCACAAGATATATGTTATCAACCTAGAATTGAATGTTTAGCACATTATGACTCTTTTTTATATAGCAATATGTCATTCATTCACTGGGGCCACGGTTGCTAGGTGGTTAAGAAGCTGGCTCACTAGCCTGGAGGTCGGGTGTTCGACCCCTGCATTGGCCGAGAAAGTTCATCAAGATTTTCCGACGTGGTTTCCCCTTGTCAGTAGTACAGAACGGAGGGCCTGACAAGGACAGCTGTCTAGTCCTTCGGATGAGACGAAAAACCGAGGTCCCGTGTATACATTAGAATGCACGTAAAAGATCCCTTAGCAGTTGGAATTTGATATAAGAGTAGGCGATAGTGCCGGTGCCCGGGCAAAATTTCCCTCATAGCACACTGTATGGCGTATGCCCGTCTTCATTAGCCCAGTATAGAAGCAGAACAGTAGGACGTTAAACCCCATTTCATTTCATTTTATTTCATTCATTCACTAAGGTGATTTAAGTACATACTACATATATGTGAATCTAATAACTTGCCAAAGATATTAATTTATACAATATAACGCCATTGTTTTTCTCTATTCCTTGTCTATAAATTTGAAAATAATGTCGCAACGACAATATTTCTACACATGTTTCTTCTTCGACTCATAACGGTGGACATATTCTCGATCTAGTGATAACTAATCCATGTGATATTAAACTGGATAATTTCTCTATCTCGGACAAATTAATATCTGATCATTTCCCGGCAAGTTTTAATCTTAAGATCCAGAAACCACAACCAACAAGAAAGACTGTAACATATCGAAAGTTTAAATTACTTGACACTAATAACATATCGAAAGTTTAAATTACTTGACACTAATACATTTAAAGTGGAAATAATCAACTCGGATTTCAATGACATTCAACGTATTCAAGATATACAAGAGAAGGCAACCCAATATCACTCTAAGCTATCTTTCTGAAATTTTGGACTCACTTGTGCCTCTTCAAACGAAAACATTTACTATTCGTCCCAATACGCCGTGGTTTAATGATTCTATTTTAGAAGCCAAAAGGGACCGTAATAAGGCGGAAAACAAATCTACATGTCCATAAACAGATTTATAAATCTTTAAAAAAAAAACAATGTGAATAAATTAATTGAAGACGCTAAAATTAAATTTTACTCTGATAAAATAGAAAATGGCGAAAACAGACAAAAAGACCTGGATTATAATGCTGGGCGGACTATTATCCCGGACAATGATAATGACACTGAACTTACGAATTTATTCTCTGATTTCTTTCAAATGAAAATACAGAAAATACGGACTGAACTTGATAATTTAAATAAAACAATTGACTTTAACGCTCATGATTTTGATAAGTTAGAAAATTCTGTTTATTTAGAAAATATTAACTCATGATTTTGATAAGTTAGAAAATTCTGTTTATTTAGAAAATTTTAACTTGGTTAGTAAATCTTTTGTTTTAAAGCTAATTAAATTGTCTGCTCCTAAATCTTGTTCATTAGATCCTGTTCCGACTCCTATTCTTACGGACTGTCTAGACGAAGTTATTCCAGTTTTTACCAATATTATTAATTCTTGTATATCATCCTCTACTATTCCCAACGTTTTCAAACAAGCTTATGTTACCCCTTTAATTAAAAAGTCTACACTGGACCCTAATAATTTAAAAAATTACAGACCTAACTTAAGTTTTATTTCTAAAATATTGGAGAAATGTATTGCTTCTCATATAAAGGCCCATCTAGATGATAACAGTTTATATGAACATTTCACAGTACCGAAACAGCTTTAACCCGGGTTTCAAATGATATTTTAATGGAAATTGATAATAGAAAATGTACAGGAAACTACTTAATCACTAAAATATGTACAAAAATGGATTCAGCTACCTCGAAAACGTATATTTTGACAGCAAATTTGATCTTCATGTAAAATTCGAATTTTCCAGCCAAAACTGACCGCCATCTTGAATAACCCCGAATATTGACTCAGAGGTAACGCTTATGGCCACAGATCACTAAACATTTGCCCATTGACTTTAATGTTAATTCTCGTCTCTTAGACCGGTTCTAACTTTTTCCCAAATTTTCGTTGGGTAGAACGTTTTCTACCACAGATGGAGCAACATGTGGCAACCTCTTGCCCAAAAGCACGTATGAGGTTCACCATGGAAAACATGAGATACACAAGCTGGAAGTAGAGACAAGAAACATGCAATTTTGGACCCTACCCTTTTCTTCGATTCTACACCAAAATGTCAACAAAAATCGCCACGCAAAAGGGGGAAAAGGGAAAGGGAGAGAAAGACTAAAAATAACTTTTGCCCTACATTCGTGGGTGACGGCGTAGAAATATTTGGTGAGCTGTGTCCTATATCACACAAGTTTTTATGGACTAAGTCTAGTAATTATTTCCCCTTATTTCATGATACGGATGTAGTGCTAGTTATAAATAGACAATTTTTTCCCTTAATTTTTTTCTCCGCTCTTCCTGCATTTTTTGTTTGACTTTTCGGTCTAGAATTGGAGAAAAGGGATCAAATTTGCAATTTCATAGCAGTTTTGAGTAATACAGATGATTTTACAGCGGAGGGATAGGAGGTGTAAAGTGTCTTTCTGCAGAGCAATTATTGTGTCGGAAGTGAGATTTTCACATCAAATCCCCGTAGCAAAATATCTCAACGGTAAACCCTCTACAAAATTATGATGAGATTGCCAAATGCGGTCCCCATTGCGCCTATACAGATTGGAACCAACGGAATTTTGAGCAAAAATCTACAGCCTGTGATGTTACAGCCATTTAACATTGAAGTCAATGGGTAAATAATTGCTAGTCAAGAGTCCGTATGGAAATGGATTCAGTTACCCCGAAAACATATATTTTGATACTAAACTCGATCATATGATAATTGGGTGGAAATCAAAATTTACAAGCCAAAACCGGCTGAAGTCTAGCTCACGCGCGCGGGTCAAAGGGTTTGGTAGCTGGCAGACCAGCCGCAATAAACTAGGTGAAAATGTTGTATGTGCAGGACAGTCTCCTCTACGGCCAGTTTGCATGGGCGTTACACATGGGGGAGTCCGGGGGGGGGGGGGTGTCTAAATATACTTGCCCCCCCCCCCCCAATTTACATAGTAGCCTCTAACTCCTATTTATTTACAACAATTATTAGGATTAGTTAAGATTCTTTATGTATAAAACAATGTACAAATTAAAACACAAACACTTATGTTTACTTTTTGAAATCCATTTATAATACACAAAATGTACAAAATACTTTAAATATCTATACAACTTTCTTGTAAATGTCAATGTGTATATGTATATAGTATTGTAGTTAACAAGGTGATTGTCAAATACATGTATGCATCCTCATAAACTAAAGTTATGTGATCAAGTTTTGTTTCATTTGGATCCTCCTCATAAAAATTCCCCTACTAAATTCTCTTTGTCGTATTGTTCATATTTCAAGCGTAACATTCAATATGTAAAAGTCATGAAAAAATATGAATACGGCTCCCCCTGACTTAAAGCTGAACTCCGATTACAAAACTACAGAAATAATCAAATAAAATAAATAACACCCTAAATAACCGCCATACTTGTTTTCAAGTTGTAGAACAATCGTGGCGATTGTACGGCATATAAAAGCAGAGGCAGGCCACGCCCACATCCAGTTCACGCCTTGTCAACCGCACTGTCCACATCCGGCTAGCAATATTTCTACTACCAATTACCTCCTGAAAGTATTATTGCTACACAATTATTATATCTGATCAGGTACATATTATTTTACTTATTAGACGAAATAAATAAACCACGGTGTTCTTTTGCTCTAAAAATAAGAAACAAAACAATAACAAATCTAAGAACACCAACCAATTATATGTTGTTGACATAACATCAAGGGACATAACTACTTCACAAGATGGTGAATATTTTGAAGTGAAAACATACTTCTTTGATGGGGAGAACAACGGTTTTATTGCTGCTTTAGATATATTTTGTAACGATAATACTAGACTTTATTACTAGAAATTATTTGGTGTTTCCACGCTGTTGTACAAACATTTCAAGAAATAAGAAAAAAATTGTTGGCGTTGGTAGATTTGTTAATGTTTGGGGTAAGACAGTTTTCTCATATTTTTAGAGCAAAAGTACACTATGGTTTACTTATTTCGTCTAATTAGTAAAATAATATGTACCTGATCAGACATAATAATTTGTAGCAATAATATTTTCAGTAAGCAATAATATTTTCAGTAAACTGATAGTGAAAAAACGTCAATCAGTCAGCTGAAATATTGCTAGCCGGATGTGGACAGTGTGGATGACAAGAAGTGAACTGGATGTGGGCGTGGCCTGCCTCTGTTTTTGTATGCCGCACAATCGTCATGATTGTTCTACAACTTGAAAACAAGGGGCGTATTCGAGACAGTGTTCGCGTAGGTTCGTGAACGACGGAAGAACACGAGAACACTTTCACGAGTCTCAAACATGAGAGAACGGTTTCCATGATAACAAGTTGAATTTTTAAATTTATACAATTTATTACTATAACTTGATTAGACTGTGCTACGCATAAATGAATACGCTATTCAGCATAATTTTGATAAATGACTCCGTTTTACTCCTTTTCACTTCTTTCGTTGAGGATTACATGGAAATGTGGCCGTATAATGTCGTCGTCCCGTCCGTCCGTCCGTCATCCACAATTTTTTGTGAAAACTCTACAGACAACATTTATCATCAGATTGTTTTGAAATTGATATATGCTGTTTACTATAGTGAGAAGAAGAAGAATCCTATTTAATTTCAATAATTTCCGTTAATTCCTTCTGGGGTTATGACCCTTGTTTCACTTTGTTGCTCCTTGTGAACGCTGTTATAATCAAATCTGTATGAAATGTATAATGTATCAATTAAATTAGCGAAACGAATAATCCTATTGAATTTCAGCAATTTGCGTTTATTAGGTCCAGAGTTATGCCCTTGTTTCACTTTGTTGCACCTTGTGAACGCTCTGACGACAAAGTTATCATCCGATCTGTATAAAATTTGTATGCATTATTTAAATTAGCAAAACAAAAAAAATATGTCAAATTTCAACAAATATCAAGGCCCTTGTTTCAGTTTGTAGAACCTTTTGTAAACCCACAAACGACGAAAATTATAATCTGATCTGTATGAAATTGTCTTGTAAATGCCCCCATTACCTACGAAAAAATGAATATGCGACAACCTTTGTCGACCGCCGGACGATTTAGCTGATGTGGGCGTATGTTTCGTTGCCTGGCAAACTATCTTACTTAATGTTATACTGGCCACACACTCACTACATGCAGTTTCCGAACGGTATTAAAATTTTAATTTAATAAATGAACTCATGAGATGCTGTTTTCTGGGCAGTTGTCGACGCGTCGACCATGTTTGTTCTCGCCTCACACCAGCTAACGAGGTAGTGTGGGATTTGAGAACGGCGACGTGTTCGTGAACGCATTCTCGGCTGTTCGAGACCGACATGAACTCATTCTCCGTCCGTTCTTTGCACCGGAACACTGTTTCGAATACACCCAAGTATGGCGATTATCTTGGGCGTTAATTTTTTTTTATTTAATTATTTCTGTAGTTTTGTAATCGGAGTTCAGCTTTAAATATGATAAACATTGTATGTCAAAACAGTGTTTACAGAAGACTGTAACTATGGGGGAGGGGGGCAACCCCAGTGGGAGGGTCACTCTCCCACACTCTCCCTATCGCGCAGCCTCGTGCCTCCGGCGTCACAGATTGTCAACATTTTATATAATTTCATTTGCGGACCCCCCCTCCCCCCCAAAAAAAAATTATATATTTCAAGGCTACGCCTCTGCCTGTTTGCGATCTTCTATGGTGCCGAGCACATGCAAGTCACGCGTAAGACTCACGCACGGGTTTACTCAAAAGACTGCCCGTACGGCGGGTTGTGAGCTAGGCCTAAGGAAGCCATAGATTATTTTTTAAAAATTTCTCAAGGTTGAGCGAACGTTTTGATTTTTAACATATTTTATCGAGCTCATTTTGACTCAGATTAAATACTCAAAACTAAAGATAAAGCAAATGTCACATTTGTAGGCCCTACTTATGAGTTTTATGTCATAGGTTTTTCAAATTTGAGTTGTCTAAATAAAGTGTTATGACTGCAAGTAAGGGCGTGTCAATTCGAAAAAAATAAACAACTAAATTATTAAGACCATTTTTTTGTAGATCCCAAGTCTCAAAGACACTTAACGACAATAGCATAAATATAGAGTTTTTATTAAATTTACGTCACTTCCCAAGCCGACAGAAAACCGTTAATAAAAAAGCACTTTGCCTCACGGAGTCTTGATTTATGTCTGTAAGTAAGACATCAATAATTAATCTACTGGTAGGGCAATGATACTGTTTTATATTCGTAACAAATAAAATAGTGTTTTACCTATTTGTCTATAAAAAATATACTTACCTACAATAGCAAATACTGCAAGAGCTCGAATAAACATTTTCGATACTATGATTTCGTTAGGACGGTTTGCCGGACGATCTTTCCAGGTACGGTTATTGAGCCAATATGTAACCCTCTGCATAAATCCAATTGCATTAACCACGCGACGCTTATAGATTTATAGCTGTCACGCGCAATTCAACCTACTTACCTAATATGGTAATAGTCCATGTTTTCTAAGAATCGAACATTGTGTAATATAAACAAGTTAGTTTGTAGCACGGGTGGGAAATCTTGTTCTTTTCGTTGAATATGCAGATTGTTTTCCTCTAGTAGACTAGGTGGAGCTCAACCGTGCAGTAATCAGACATGTCAATGTTATTGCACCGGTTTTCTGTGCATTATCAACGAGCATGTTCAGCAGGTGTCAATGTTACATGTCATATATAGCACGCTTCATTCGTTAACATGTTTAAAGCGATAATTTCATATTTTCTAAGAAAGTCAAAACATAATTATTTCTATGTATTTTGCTCAATAGGTTGTCAACCCACTATTATACGATCATAGGTTGATGATGAGTTAGTTGTATTTAACGTCCGCTTCCACCGAGGTGATATCACAGACAATCGATCATAGGTATTATTCTCCATCTTAAAAATCCTTTGACCCCGGAAATAATAACACAATTACCCCCCTTGTTTCTCTATTCCCCCCATGGAATAGCTACTTTCAAACGTTTGAATTTAAAGTTGAAAATTATATTTTTGCCAATTTCTCAAATGACAATAGTGAATTATAGGATTAATAGGATTATTCTTTAACAAGGTAGGACTGTTTATAGATACCATCTATTTTAAGGCTTTATTTTAATAAATTTTAAAAATATAACTTAAAAATTTGAAATTGCAGCTTTAACACCACGGCCTACGGCTATAAATACAGCAGTATTCTTCATCAGTATGCACAAACGACAAGAACAATATTATGTGGAATGTGCCTTCTTGTAACCCAGGACAACATGCTTATTTACTATGTTCAGTCTGATTTCCAATAATAAACATTACATTTCAGAAATTATGACAGAATTAACCCTTTGTCAAGTCTTATTAACATTCGAAAATAACTCGGGTCTTGAACGAAAGTTATAGTGGATCTTTGTATATATTTTATTATATAATTTAAGTTAAAGTAGTAATTGACCAATATCTGAATTGACATCTCATCAATCTTTCAAGTCTTTTAATTGTTTGGGTTTATACTTAATGTAACGATATATATCACGTAATTATAGTTAACACGTGTTCTTGCTATGTCCATATTTTCTTCTGTATTTCAGCATTTGTTTCATATGTACAATTTAACATTTCTGATCAAATATTATTATATAATTTTTTAATCCTAAGCTTGTATTAGAGCTGCCACGATGAATCGATAAACCGCGATGTTTAAAAAATCCACGATGTACGATACAATCAATATCAAACCAGACAAAAATAACTAGGCCTTTATGCAATGAAATTGCTACAATTTTGCATTTAAAGCTGGCCGATATTTGTCAATAAAATATGCCTCTTTGGCTTCTAATAAATCAGTATTATTGCTATTAAGCTTGTACATCGGAAAAACGCTAAATTTGCAACCACCACAAACATCTATATGTCCACTAAGGGGGATTATCCTATATTGTGGATTAAGTATATGATGTCGATGGAGGTTCATCCTTGTCTTTAGCATATTTATAGTTTTTCCAATGTACCGTCTATATTATAGCCTGAACAAACAATATATACTCAGCCAAATTGAAAACTTGACACTGATGAATTTCAACAAAAAATTTTTTCTGGTAAGTCAAATAAATTTTAAAGTGTTTCTAACGATAGTAAGTAGTAAGAAGCCTTTAATTTCATAAAATTGTAAAGTCACGTGGATCATGTGACTTTTGAGCATATAAAGATAAAAAACCTGAAAAACACGTGCAAACTCAAACTCGTGAGGTCAATCGGTGCAAGTTTGCTTAAACTGAACACGCACACGTAACTTGAACTGGAAAAACAAATTAAAACTGTTATTTTCATCTTTGTTAGAAAATGACGCGCCTTTCAAATGTAGAACGTCTACGTGCTATAGATAGGCTCTATGCTGGTCAGTCTGTGGTCACTGTTGCAAGAGCCTTTAATTGTTCACGCCAGACAATAATTAATCTTAGAATGAGAGTGCTTCAAACTGGAACTATTGCCGACCGCCCAAGGGCGGGAGCGCCACGTGTGACGTCACTCCAGGAAGATCAAGCAATACGATTACGTCATCTTAGAAACAGATTTGTCACTGCAACCTCCACAAGTAGAGAGATGTTTGGTGGAAGGGTCACTGCACAAACTGTTCGAAATCGCTTGCAATATAATGGACCAATATTGACACCTCTTCATCGCCGTAACCGACTTGTGTGGGCCACAAGACAAATAAGATTTACTCAAAGACAGTGGAATTCGGTTGTCTTTAGTGACGAATCTCGATTCACTTTGAGATTTGCCGATGGCAGGGTCCGAGTGTACCGCAAACGAGGTGAACGTTACGCTCAAGTATGCGTCAGAGAAGTTGACCGATTTGGTGGCGGCAGCGTCATGGTTTGGGGGGTTTTTTTGTGCACATGGACGTTCTCCTCTTGTTGTTGTCCAAGGGAACTTAAATGCTGTCCAGTACAGGGATCAGATTTTGCAACCTGTTCTTCTTCCGTTTATGCAGAGACATGGGCCTGGACTAACGTTTCAACAAGACAATGCTCGACCCTATACAGCAATTGCTACCCAGAATTTTTTAAGAAATGCCGGTGTCCAAGTCCTGGATTGGCCGTCGCTTAGCCCCGACCTTAATCCTATTGAACACATCTGGGACGAACTGGGTCGACATGTTCGTCAGCAAGTGAATCCACCACTGACGTTGCAGGACCTTCAACATGCTCTTGCTGAGCAGTGGCGAGGTCTTCCTCGGGTAGTGTTTACTAATGTTCTGAGATCCATGAGAAGACGTTGTGTGGCAGATCACAACATCAATGTTGATTTAAACTGACAAATAATTTGTATTTTCAAGGTGGAAGACTTTGGATGATATTGAGTTAGACTTGTGTAATTTGACAGATAAACAAGGAAAACTATGATTTCTATGGAATTTAAAGCAGCATTAAAAATTAGGTGGCATTTATGATAAAAAACGGTACGTATTGTCAATTTATATGAAAAAAAACCTCAAAAACATTAAACATTCCGAGTCAAATAAAATATGTGAATATGGTTAATGTATCTACAATGGTAGCTGTCTTTTTTTAAATCTAGCATACCAAAAGCAACCATTAAATACATGCCAATCAAAAACATTTCCTTTCTAGACAGTTAAGTTAGACTTTTGCAAAGTGACAAGTGTTGTGCATGGGCAGGGTATGCCCAAAATATCACTATTAATATTACGCAAACCCTGTTGGCAAGTTTACAAATCTATGTAGGCCTTCTAGAAGACAGAAACATTGTACATATGTGAATGGATGTGATTCATGTATGTCAGCATCTAATTAACTAGAACATCTGATATCACTTCCCATTGGAAAGTTTGCAAATAATGCTGAATGTTTTACACATGTACATGTATATTGAGAATTTGTGTATGTGCTGGATTTAGAAAATGAATTGAAAAATACACCTTTACATTATTTATTTTTCATAAATATAGGCCAGGAACTGAAATGTGATTTAGGATTTGTTGACTTTAACATAATAACAGGTGGGTATAACAAATTGTGCACATTTAACACGTCCACATTTGATCACAAGGTCTGTCATTGAGTCCAGTGGCGTAGTTTCAGTTGTCCACTTGTATGTGACAGGCAGTCGGGTCGCCTGTCAAGCCTCATGGGTTTTCTCCGGGTCTTTCCACTGCTAAAGACCCCTACACACTAGCGTATTATTGACATAAATTTGAACCATGTGTTAGTCCCGAAATGACCTAGTTTGTGTCCAGAAGACATTAAACCTCTCTCTCTGTGTCTTTCCCTTTCACACAAATAATACATTCATCATTATGGTATAACTATATACATGTAATAAGCCTTAGCAGACATACATACATTGTAATATAGCCCTGTATTCAAGTCATGTAAAATCCCTGCAAAAAGGCTGCTATTATTGAAATTGATGTCATATCCGGAATATGAAGGCTATTTGTACAATGTGTACCTCATATCATAGGGGCAATATTGCTATCCACTGTGCCACTAGTGGTACACCATACATGTGCAGTGAAAGTAGTGAATGAAACAAAATGGCCTTTTGTTTACAAAATATTTGAAAACTTTGAGGTCCTATAACTAATTTTTGATATTTTTTTTTCAGATTTCAAGTCTTGATGGTTGGAGTTTGATTATTTGAGCAACTTTTAGCCAGTTTAATTTTAATGTGTTCTTTTTTATAAAGCTTGTAGCTGCCCAGTCCTGACTTAGGAATTTGCTTCATTATTTGGTAAATATTTTATTTCAAAGTCATTATTTTGGATTTCCATCCATTTTTTATTGTTCTGTATCATCTCAGGCACATGTAGATACCAACATATTTGCATTAAAGCTGGTGTAAATCCCTTTTTGAGAACCCCCCATTTCAGGTGTTGTGACAAAATGGTGTCACTTTACCTTGCCCTTAAGCTTCGTTGGATGGTTATACAGTTGTGACACAACACGCCCCTGAAAGCTTATAGATTTCTAGGTAGCACGCGCAAGTTTACCTGATATGGTGAAAGTTCATGTTTCCAAGAAACGGAGCCTCAGTTTGAATTTAGAAGTGAAGAGTAGCCAGTTCGTTTCCAATAGCGAACACACAAAAACACTACCAAACAAACATTCTCTTACATACCCAGACCAGCCATACAAATTACCTGGCGTTTAACGAGTGAAGCTTTGTTGGATGGTTATACAGTTAGTGACACAACACGCCCCTGGATGCTTATAGATTTCTAGGTAGCACGCGCAAGTTTACCTAATATGGTGAAAGTTCATGTTTCTAAGAAACGGAGCTTCAGTTTGAATTTAGAAGTGAAGAGTAGCCAGTTCGTTTCCAACAGCGAACAAACAAAAACACTACACTACCAACAGTTCTCTTACATACCCAGACAGGCCATGCAAATTACCTGGCGTTTAACGAGTGAAGCTTTGTTGGATGGTTATACGGTTACATTCAGTGCCGGACTGGGCCTAAGCCTATAAAGAAAAAAGAAAAAAAGAAAAAAAAAGAGAAGAAAGGAGAGGGGGGGGGGCAAAAAAGAAAGAAGGAAGGAGAGGACAGGATACTTGTGTGGGCCTTCGGCACACCAGTCCGGCACTGGTTACATTACGTGGCGTTTAACGAGTGAAAAATTAGATCAATAAATGTGTGTGTGTGTGTGTGAGAGAGAGAGAGAAATGGGGTTTAACGCCCACTCTACATAAATCAGGTCATTTCGGGACTAACACATGGTTCAATTTTATTTCAATAATTAGCTTGCGCGTAGCTTTCTTTAGCTGTGGGGGGGAACCAGAGGACCCGGAGAAATCCCACGAGGTTAGACATGCAACCCTACTCCTTGTCACGTACAAGCGGTGAATTGAAACCACGCCATCAGACTCAATGGCAGACCTTGTGATTTCACACACACGCGTTAAACCACTTTATCACCCAATAACACATTCTAGATATGGCTTGTGTGATAACTTTCATAATCTACTGATCAATATTTCCTTAGGAGATATCGCTCTACATGAACTTGATTGGTCAGTTAAAAAAGAACTAATTTTTTTTATTAAAACGGAACGACTCTTTTATTAAAATAGAACTTCTTTGTGAAAACGTGAAGCATTAATTGCCGGGAAGATGATCGGCATTCCTATTAGGTATCAGCTCCTTAAATTCATCGTCTGGATTTTACATGGCTATCGTTTTGTCACAAAGTCTGAGACCAGCAAAACGTTTTCAGGTTTGGGATATACTGCGGTAAACGACAATCGATTCTACCTTTGGTTGCAGGAATATTTTGCAGAATACACACGTCATCTGATACGAATGGTGGTGTACAAATATATATATATATCATAAAACAGAAATGTAAATATTTTATTACAGAAGTTTAAAATGTTTTACTGAAGATGCAGGAAAATAGTTTTATTATTAAAATATTGCAAATTCTAAAAATATTATGTTTAGACTTTTTAACCGCGAAATGCCTGTAATGATATTGCTATAATAATAATACCGAAATTATGTAAAAGGACACCCTATATTTATGGAAACAACTGGGGTTTAACGTCTTACTTTTCTTCAACATTTGAGCTAATGGAAACGGCCATAAGAGCGTAAGAAATTGACAGATGTGGGCATAGAAAAATGTATTATAGTTACCTTTCATTGCCATTACACATCACCCTATGAATGTGTAGGGTTGATAGATTTGAATGATTGTTTGATCAATAGATTTGACGTCGATGTACATTTCGTGTCCTTTTATTCTGGGATGTTGTTCTTTAAAGATGCATTAAGTAAGATCTAAATCTTACTATTGAAGGTCTTATTTCTGACTTCAACATTCATATTTAGGCATAAAAGCAACTCTGTAGACAATTCGGATAGCTTGGATATTAATTGGATAAGACCAGCCGTTCCGTTTAATCGGTGAACGAAAAATGAAAAATCCAGACATCGTTTATTATCGTAGCAATGACAATGTAGACTACGCCATTCTTATCAAAACTTCAAACATTCTGCATTCCTTCAGAATAAGGAATTTTACTGAAATTTTCATTATACACTCATTTCTGATTATCTATTTAAAAACTAGACGACCCTTTATTTAAATCTTACATAATGCATCTTTAAATTGAATAATAATAATATCGAAAATAACCCTGACTATTTAACATACCTCAACTTTGACCAACGCATTACCTTTCATAGACTCTACCGCTGAGTATTATCATAGTGCCTAGCAAGCGAGAAATCACTTCGAGATAAGCCACTAAAGCGTGTACATTCGCCGTGTCGAGACCAACTTTCTGTAAGGAACATTTTGGGTGCACGGGTCACCCTACTATTGTATGTAGCTTACGCGGGTTCGTGGCTGACACTTTTCAAAAGGGTCGGTTATTGACGTCATATACTCATAGCCTTTCAAGGTTGATTTCTTTACAAAGTCTTACTATCTTTTGATAGTTCATGCAACGAATTACATTAGTGGAAAGATCCCATTTATTATGCCGAATGGTTAATCGCGTGCGCTTAAATCATAAGGTCTGTCATTTAGTGGCGTGGTTGGAATTCGCCTATTGTGCAATTTGGGATGTAAAGGTGGTAATAAACAAATTAATACAAATAATACATAATAAAATGTATGTGAATACATAACATCCCCGCCGACAAACAAAAATAAATAATTTTGTTTAAAATCCAAGGATAACAGATTTGTGTTTAGACTATTAGTATCTTGAAACATAATCAATAGTACTATACATGACAAAATTGACTAGAAATGACCGATAAATGTAAACAGTTTGAACGAAATGCAAAGCGGATAGAAGTGGACAATATAAGTACATTGCCCTGAAAAATTTCCTACATAGCATGCACATTAAATATATATATGTATATTCTTTAAAACCTGAGATACATACTGTATAGCAAACGACAAGAACATGGACGTATGAATTTACGTAAAATAATACTGGAAATATATAAAGAAAGTATTACGACGTATAATGAGATAAATGGATTAACTAGATAACATGTCATGTAAAACAACAAACATTACTACATGTATTGCAATAACATTTACAAAAACCAAATAAAATAGACTGAAAGCATATCCAACTGGGATGTAAGTAATACATGCACATTATATATATACACTGAAAAAAAACTTGTGTTGGATCTCAACACAAGTACTTGTGTGAAAATTATTCTACACAAGTTATGTGTTGTTTTGCATTGCATTAACACAAACTTGTGTTCTTTTTAATGCATTAACATAAATCTTGTGTTTTTTCCATATAATTAACACAAGTAATGTGTACCGTCAACAAATATTTTTTTTTTTAAATTTGAACTACATACAAAGTCTTAATCCGGGGGTCCACAAGTAAGAGAAAGGTTTTTTACTCAGACAATATAGCCAGACAGACTTGAATGCTAATTGGTGTTAAGATGTCTGTAGTTAAAATAAAGTTGGGCCCAATAAACTGGTAGATCAAAGGCCTGTTGAGCGCTCATGCCCGGTGTGATTTTAACAATTGACTCCAAATGCGTTGACAAGAAAATAAGTAAAACTGTTATTGAATGTGATTGGTTGATAAAATCAACATACTATAGGCTACATTTTGTCTGCGATATCATCTCGGTGGAAGCGGACATTAAATGAAGTGATTTCACACAATTAATTTAACATTTAACAAAATGCTGAAATGATTTTGGAGCAGTGATATGTTTGACAAATGTAAGCTAATGGTCACATAGAATACAAGACCGCAGGTTTGTGAATATTTATATTAAAAAAATAATACCATGTATGTAATTTAGCATCGATATTGTTTCTCTGTATAATGTTAGTATTTCGTTTCCTTAAAAAAAACTCCAACAATTTAAACCGGAAGTTCATGTTTATAGTATGGCGCGGTCAGGAAAAAAATTTCGGCATGTTATTATCAAATCTGTTCAATTTTTCTGAAATCATGCTTAATTAACATTAGTTGTTCGGCACTACGATGTTGTTCAAATACTTACATTACAGAATCACATTATGATTAAAGCAGAAACGGCTCGACTTGAACCAGCAGGTAAGAATCTGTTTTGAAATATATCTTGGGAGGTTGGATTGGCGTTGGAGACCCGATTGGCGGCCATTTTGATTCTTGTTTCATGATTTTTTTATATTATAACGATTTTGCCAAGAGTAGACATAAACGCGGGCACAGACTAGAAAAAAATCTTTTTACACTTTTGTGTTAGTTGAATTGTAATCTAATTTATGTTTAAAAAAACAACCTTAATAAGCAGACGGAAGATATGGACGAACAACAAGAAGTTATGGAGGTCCCAACAACTGAACCTATGGAAGTAGAAGAATCGTTTACAGCCGAAACCCGATACGATGTGCCAGTTCCGGTCATGGAGTCCTCCATCTCAGACGATGCCGACGTTAGTGTCTTCTGCGACGAAGAACCCGTAGTGGTGTATACGCAGGTAGAAGCTGGTTCCTCCCGTGGCAAGTCCAAGTTGTTAGACAACCAAGGGTTTAGTTATACAATTAAGGTAGGGTGATTTATTTTACCTAGTTAACTACCTTGTATAGAAATGTATTTCAGCTACAAAATGTAAAGATAATTAACTCTAGTTAACCTAGTTAACTCTATAATAATAAATGAATTTAATATATTTTAGACAGAGAAGAAAACTACGATTTGGAGGTGTTCCAAAAGAAGCGGACCAACACGATGTCCGGCAACAGTAATCCAAGATGGTGATACATACCAACCAGGCTTAAAGAACCATCTTCACCCAGCAGAACCCGGTATACACACGGCTACCAAGATAAAAGTTACAGTAGGTTTAAAAATTATATATCAATTAAATTAAAAATTTATATATGTGTGTAAATAATAAATAAAATATAAATAAACCAATAATATATTTGTAGTTTAATATGTTTTATCTTATCATTACTGGCAAAGCATGAAAAAAAGGAAATGTTTTTACCAAGTCATGTTCCTCAATAGCGGAGAGAGTTTTATCCAGTGTTGGTTCTGCAGAAGAACCCATTCATAGCAGACCACCCATGGCAGCACTTGTAAGGTCGCTACAAAGAACCCGACAGACTCTGCGACCAAAAGATCCCACTGACGTGTCGTCAAGCGTAAGTATTCATGCAATTAAATACCCATGTATATAAGAATTTATTAACATGTAATTAAATGTACAATTTTATTTATTTATTAACATGTAATTAAATGTACAATTTTATTTATTTTTTGTTTTAGCTTGACGAAGATTTCATCGATCATAGTGCACCGGGATTTAATCAAAAAAGAGTAAAAGTTGGGGAAAGGCGCCATCACATTTTTTGTACTGATAGACAGATGCAACTACTCGCACGCGCATAAACTTGGAATATGGATGCACCTTTTCGGGTGGTGAACAAGCCATGGTCTCAGCTGTTTTCCATCCACGCCTTCATTAAGACTGGGGAGACCACCCGGCAGTTACCATTGGTGTTTTGTGTAATGTCGGGTAAAAGCCAAGACGACTATTATAAGGTAAATAGCACTTATTGATTGAATTACTATTAATAGTAAAAAAGGACTATTATTTGGGACCTTGAAATTGTCACAAATGGGTCGCACTAACAGCGACATTTGTTTCAGGCATATTTGTTTCATCGGTGACACGTCTGGTGTCATGTGAATGCAATGACAACAGCCTGGTTGATTGATTTGTTGATTGGAGTTCAGATGTCTACATTAAAATCGACCACTTTCAGGTTGCCGTATTCACGGCCAGGCAAGACCGACTTGAAATTTCTAGAAATTTTTCTGGGGGAGACAGGCCCCAACAAATCCCCCGACGGTGCGTTTCACGACTTTGGCGCAAGACGGTGACCTTGAAGAGACGTCGAAAACCATTTAATAGACATAGTAAAAGTCATATCTTACGAGATTATCGCTGGTCTTGTCAGAAAATGCTATTTTATATATGACCAGTTTGTGTTTGAAAAATTTAAAAAGAAATTATTTATTCTCCCACCATTAAAGCACACTAATTACGAAATATCGCTCTCAGAAACTTCATGGTTTCTTTTGCAATTTGTTTGGGGTAAGACGTTATATAAATAATATCAATCTGTCTACCACACAAATTTAACAGATACAAATGCATGTTATTCCACAGGTAGACAGACAGGGCCTCCTTTGAAGGGACTCAGTAAAGGGAACGCGGTTGGTTTAGAGTTTGTCTGACCCCTTTGAATATTTGCGTCTCATCTCCAATGAAAACATTCATGTTGCTCTCATGCTGTTCTCAACCAGAATCAAACATATATCGTACCCGAGATTTGTTAGCATGTTCCACACAACCCAACATTTATCGGCACCGGGATTAAGGGTGTATATCTTTGTTTCTAACGCTTATTGGGAATACGCCACGGAAACTACAATAAAAACTTATTTACAAAAACATTCTAAAGAGTGAAAACTGACATATTTCAAACTTTACTGTATTTAAAGAAATAATTTAAATCAGCCGGCTGAAACCCCGTCTCCGCTATTTGTTCAGTCATTCTTTAGGTATAGTGCCAGTTTCCACCGACAATGATATTGCAAACAAGTGTCCAATCTATAAAAGCATACATTCCTACAAAATGTTTCTTTAGTCAAGTGAAACAATAAATTCATAACTATGCGAGGCTGTGGTGAGTAAATTCGTGGTAACAAGACCGAAAAGGCTAATGTGACATAGAACAAGGTCACATTGATGTTGACAAATACGTAAGACGATGTGAACATCAACTAAAAAGATATGTAATGTGATTCAGCTGCAAGGTGATATATGCATATATGCAGCATAGATAAATAAAACTTCTATTCAAGTTAAACCAACTGTATCTATTTATTTAAGTCTTACGTCGAGCTGAATACATTTTATGATTTATTGTCATCTATTGGTGGTTAACAGTGTGTAACTAAAAACTAAAATTGGATCTTATTATTGCCAATGATATAATGTACATGTAATAGCAAGTGTATATATATTTTTTGTTCAGTCTGTACACAGTAACATATCTGAGAACCATATTATTATCATTTCTGCCCAAGGCTCCCTGTGCCTTATAGTTAGCAGTGATACAAGGCAATTACCAATTTTCCATGTTCTTGGCCTGAAGAAATAAAATAATAAAAGTCAAGTTTTTATTATTATGCAAGTAGAAATATACAATTATTCATAGTATGATTTGAATAAATACAACTGATTTGAAGTTGGAATTATTATTTGTCTAAGATGACTGGGCATTTACAAATTGAAATAGCTACTCTTCATCAAGAAAATACATGAATATTTTTCCCAATTCACCTGGATTTTATTGTAGGTCTTTGTACGTGAAATAGCTTTATTTAACGTCCGCTACCACCGAAGTGATATTGCAGAAAATTAACAAATTCGGATTCCCTTTTAAAGGAAATTGACTGCACTATCGCTGGATTGTATTATATAGGTCATGTCAGTTTTTTTTCAAAATGGGGCCCAGAACAGAATGATTTTTTGAATATTTAATCACACAGAAACACAAGTATGCACATGCAGTTATGATATAATATTAAATTAGCTTACCTCAAATACCTCGAAATATACTGTTTGGTCAGTTTGTCCGCCCGCCATATTTCTATTAGTCACACATCCTTCGGCCAATTAAAATGGACGTATATTTTGTTTTAACCGAAACGAAAAATTTGCGTTATAAATAGTAAACGAGCTTGATTGACCGACCACTGCTAATGTTTTTTCGTGAAACGGTATAACTGCAATCAACACACGGCCGCCATTCTCGATGATTGACAACTCACGTTTTTCCTCATCCACCAAAGAACCGTTAGGTTTCTTTGAACATACTGTAATAACATTGGGATTATCAGTTAATCAGCTTTAATTATCCCGCTTTGTTCGTTGCCATTTCTTATATTTTCCACAAAAAAACTTTGCCTTGTACGCACTAATTTATCAATTGGTATTGCCATCTACGACAAGCATGTCAACGTGCAGCTCACGGATTATCGTTAACAATTTCTAGGGGCTTGTAAAAAAGATTGCATGTCGTGTAAATATTTATTTTGTTTTTTGTGTAGGTCATTTTCAAATAAATTCATCAGCATATTATTCGTTTTAAATAAATATGAAACCTTTATGAGAAACGATGATTATCAAAGAACCGTAAGTGCAACTAATGTTTTATCGTTTGGTTGAGCCTTTTACTAACCGCGTGTTTCATGTTAATAAATATTTTCTTTCGTGTTTTGAATTGGCCTATTTCTAATAAATTATCCCGAGTCCCAAACGTCGTTAACCCGAGTCCCAAACTGTCAACCAATTATCTAAATATAGACGTATGACGTCATGTTATAAAATATTATGGGATAACTGGAAGTAATAAATCTCGTGCAGTTCAACGCTGTTGTCAACTTCTTGTCTCTTCACTAAACTCACTATTTTACCCTGTCTGTCCACAACAAGAATATTACATGGTGGCTGGAGTGATGATTAAACAACAGTTTAACTTATAATGAAGAACTTACTGTCCAAACTACTCTACATGACAGGTTTACAACGTAAATGAATAGTGCTAGCGAGTATCGGTGTGCAGACGGCCTAAACTGAGTCTGTGAATGATTACGTCCGCTGCTTATTTGACATTGTTTAGTTATTGACACTACCGAAAATTACATGTTATATAGCTGTAAAATAGATGCTGATTTACTGACTTTATATTATTTACTGTGTGGATTGTCTTTGTAGCCGTAACGAGTTATTAATAAAGTACCGGTAGTCACAGTAAGATATATTACTACGTCACTACTACGTCACTCAAATAATGGCCGAGCTATTGTCAGCACCAACTCCTTGTATGAACTGGGAAGCAAGTAACTTGCCCGAGGCATGGAAAAAATTCAAACAACTCGCTGAGCTAACATTTACAGGACCGCTTAAACAAAAAAGCGAGGAAGAGAAAATTAGCTATCTCTTAATCTGGGTAGGAGAGAAAGGCCGAGATATATATAATACTTGGAACGATATTACTGAAGACAACAGTAAACTACTTAAAACTTTTTATGAACGGTTCCAGAGCTACGTTAATCCTAAAAGCAACACTGTATTCGCTAGGTATAAGTTTCCTAACAGATTTCAAGAGTCTAATGACGCATTTGATGGATTTGTAACTGATCTGAAATTGCTTGTAAAGGACTGTAACTACGATAAGCCTGACGAAATGGTACGCGACAGAATTGTGTTTGGTATTAAATCACAAAAAGTCAGAGAAAAACTTCTAAACCAAGGATCAGATTTAACTTTGGAGAAAACGGTTGAAATCGCGCATACTTGTGAATTATCCGAAACTCAACTTCGCACAATGTCTGGTCAGGAGCAACACAGTGTTCATCATGTTAATCGCACCTCAAGTCGTCATAGAGGATCAACTAACAGATCAACAACTGTTATTTCTGTGGACGAGGTCATAATAAGGGTCAGTGTCCAGCATGGGGTCACACATGTGATAAATGTGGTCAAATAAATCACTGGAAAAATCAATGTGACATTGTTTCCCAACACTCCAAAACTAGAATATCACGATCCCAAACACGACATAGCCGGTTTAGACCACGTGACCGCAGTCGTAAAAGTGGTAACCGCGATAAACATGTACGTTCCATACAACATGACCGTATTAGAGATAACGAAGATTTCTACATCCAGGCGGTACAAAATAAAAATAAAAATGGTCGTGACCAACTACAAGCTACTATTACAGTGAAGGATAATAGAGCTAAACTAACAGTACAAGTAGACACTGGGGCCGAAGCAAACATTCTACCTGTAAGATGTTTTAGACAACTGTATCCAGAACGAAACGTTTCTGACTGTACTGACATTATTCCTAAACCATTGGTTACTCTTTCAGCCTATAATGGAAGCGCCATTAAACAATATGGTATGTTAAATCTACAGTGTTCTTTAGACCAGGGAAACTGGCAAAATGTACAATTTTACATTTGCGACACTGATGGTCCCATTATATTAGGACTGAATGACAGTTGTAAACTTCAACTTATAAATGTTAATGAGTCTCATGTTAAACATGTTACTGTGTCAGTGATTACCAGTGAAACACCGGTTTCTTATATTAAAGACACTGATAGTCTCAAAAGTGTTTTTCCTTGATAGATTTACTGGGCTTGGTAAATTTAAACAGAAGGCACACTTCCAACTTAAAAGTGATGCAGTTCCTGTGGTACATGCTCCACGACGTTGCCCTGTACATTTGAAGTCTGAAATCAACAAGGCCATAAATGATATGGAGAAGAAGGGTATTATAGAGAAGATACCTGCCGGACAACCAACTGAATGGTTATCAAGTCTCGCATATTCCAGAAAGTCAAATGGAAAACTTAGGGTATGTTTAGACCCCCGGGACTTGAACGAGAATATTAAAAGAACTCATCATAGAGCACCGACGGTAGAAGAAGTAACTTATAAACTAGACAATGCTAAGGTACTAAGTAAATTGGACGCCAAAGATGGATACTGGAGTATTGAACTTGATGATGAATCTAGTAAACTCACAGCATTTAACTCCCCAGCGTCAAATCAGCGCTACAAATTTAAGCGATTGCCATTTGGTATTAGTGTCTCACAAGATTTGTTTCAAGAAGCTATGGATGAGGTGACAAGGAACCTTGATGGTGTTATATCAATAGCTGATGATATTTGTGTATACGGTACGGATGACGAAGAGCATGATAGGAATATGCACCAACTTATGAAGAGAGCTCGTCTTTATGGACTGGTTTTCAATCCCAGTAAATGTTTCATAAAAGTACCTGAGATAACATTTTTTGGTTCTGTATACAGTAAAGATGGTGTCAAACCCGATCCAGCTCGTACTAGAGAGAAAGAAAAACTCCCAGCACCGTCTAGCAAGCAGAAAGTACAATCTTTTCTTGGAATGGTCCAATATTTATCTCCATTTATTCCTCATCTCAGTGAACTAACTTTACCATTACGTGACCTTATTAAAGCTGATTCTTTATTTATATGGTCGACAGCACATCAGAAGGCATTCGACGTTTTGAAGCTAACCATCTCAGAAGCTACTACTCTATGCTACTTCAATCCTACTTTTCAGACCAAGATTCAAGTTGATGCTAGCAAGAATGGGTTGGGTGCAGCCCTCATACAGATGGATCCTGCAAAACCCGATACTGAGCGTGTTATAGCCTTTGCTTCTAAGAGCTTGTCTGATGTTGAATCACGCTACGCAAACATAGAACGAGAATGTTTAGCCGTAGTTTTTGGTGTGGAGAAATTCTACAACTACATATATGGTGCCAAAGTCATCATTGAAAGTGACCACAAGCCACTGGAAGCTATTCTGAAGAAAAACTTATCCCAGGCTCCGCCTAGGCTACAGAGGATGATGTTACGATTACAGGCGTATGATATCGATATACACTACAGAAAAGGATCTGAAATTTTACTAGCCGATATCTTGTCCAGGTATCGACCCAACAGGGGTAAACACATCGAAATGGAAGAAACTATCCATGCTGTTCGATGGAGTGCGGACAAACTAAATCATCTACGCAAAGCCACGTTGGATGACTCAATGTTATCAGTATAGCGTGAAATTGTAATTAATGGATGGCCAGAGAAATGTTCCGATTTGCCAAAGTCAATTAAGCCTTTTTGGACTCTTAAGGATTATATAAGTATTGATGATGGTGTACTTATGAAAGGTCAACAGGTCATAATACCATATGTTTTACAAGCTGATATTTTAAAGCAACTACATGAGCACTGTCACCAAGGTATTGAGAAGACACAGATGCTTGCTAGAAAATGTGTTTATTGGCCGAAGATAAACTCTGCTATTGATGATATGGTTGGTAAATGTGTAACTTGTAATACCTTTAGAAACAGCCAACCAAGCCAGCCAATGTTTGAACGTGATATACCATGTGCTCCTTGGGAAATGTTAGGGACTGATCTGTTCGAATTCCAAGGGAACAAGTATCTACTACTTTGTGACTATTTTAGTAAATTCTTCGTCGTACGAAAGTTGAACAGAGAAACTAGTATTTGTGTAATACAACATTTAAAACAAATATTCTCTGAACATGGAATTCCTGTAGAACTATTCAGCGACAATGGTCCATGTTATTCTAGCTACGAAATCTCACAGTTCGTAGAGTGCTATGGATTCAAACACACTACATCGAGTCCACACTATCCTCAAAGTAATGGATTTACTGAAAGAATGGTTGGTGTTGTAAAACAGACATTGAAAAGATGTTCAGCCGCAAGGGAAGATCCACAACTAGCTTTACTATTTCTTCGATCGACACCACTGTCAAGTCATCTTCCACCACCTGCTGAATTGCTGTATGAACGACCTATACGTTCACTACTACCATCATTTATAAAACAAAATGATAAACACGAGAAAACGAAGGAACTCCTAAAGCGAAGACAGGAAATTCAAAAGTACTACTTCGACAATGGCACTCGTGAATTAAAGCCACTGAATCCTGGAGATGCAGTTATGCTACAATCACAAAATGATTTAAATTGGCTTCCTGCTACTATTGTTTCACCATCAAAAGAACCACGGTCGTATATTGTTCAAACAACTGATGGATCTAGATGTCGACGAAATCGTAAATTCCTACGTAAATTTCCAATGGAACCAACAGAACGTTTTAGAATATGATCAAACCGAACCAGTACAAGCAGCAGTTAATAAAACCAGCGGAAGGACAGTCAAGAAACCATCTCGACTTATTGAAGAAATGTGAACTATAACTTTAAAACTCTTATAAACAATTAACATTCTTACTTTAAAATGTGTTACATTTTCTTTCTTTTGAAAGTTATTCCAATTTCTTAAGAAGGGGGATGTCAACCAATTATCTAAATATAGACGTATGACGTCATGTTATAAAATATTATGGGATAACTGGAAGTAATAAATCTCGTGCAGTTCAACGCTGTTGTCAACTTCTTGTCTCTTCACTAAACTCACTATTTTACCCTGTCTGTCCACAACAAGAATATTACACAAACGACGTATACCAAAGTCCCAAACGTCGTATACCCGAGACCCAAATGTCGTGGTCATATTTTTTTGAGTCCCAAATGACGCGAGTCCTAAATGACGTGAGTCCCAAATGACATGTAATCCGTTGTTCAACCTCTGTGAGTCTGTGTAATATTTAATATTAGGCCCCATTTTTGCCTGATTCAGTCACAGTTAATAAATAATGGAACTAGAATCAGCCCGTGGAAGTTTCTCTATAGTTTTATTATTTTTTCCAGTCAATGATGATATGTGACTCTTTCCACCTTCCAGCAATAATTATTGAGAATTTACCAAGGACTCCACTGGCATTGAATCGAAGAAAAACAGGTAAAAATTTCAATTAATTTTTATATTTTCTATTTTTTTTTTGTTACCAATGTCCTACAATGATTAGTGTATGTGAACATACAATCCAAAATAAAGTATTTATATGGCACTTACATGCAACAGAGAGAGAGAGAGAGAGAGAGAGAGAGAGAGAGAGAGAGAAATGACATAAACAAGGCCTTACATGTACTTGTATTTGAAGAATCAAGTAGTCCATGCTGTGCCTATATGCATACCGGTAATCAACTACGGCGAGGATTAGCCTACTTCCGTTTCCACCCTTTCCCTGCACACTGTCTCATTCTACATGTATTAAAAATTGGTATGTTACTGTAATATTAATTATGCACGAACCTACATGTAGAGTTGTTGCAAGATGGGTCCTTATATCTACTTAGCCTACAGACGCTAGGTCGTTTCGGGAAAAAGGTTAAATTTAATATGAATAATTCGCTTACGGGTATGGGTATTTAGCAAAAGGAGGAAACAAAAGGACCCAGAGATTAGAGAAGGTATGCTTCAATTTAATATGAATAATTCGCTTGGCGTAGGGGTACATGTATTTAGAAAACGGAGGAAACTGAATGACCCAGCGAAAAAACTCAAGAGATTGGACAGGCGACTCTACTCCTTGAAATTGAAACCATGCCACTTAACACAATGACAAACCCTGTGATTTCATGCGCATGCATTACCTACTAGACCATTCCCCCCAGCCCCACCCCATATCGAATAAAAGTATGACTTATTTCAAATATGATATTTACATATAAAGAAAGTAGAGAGACTTCAATCTTACTAGAAAAATACTAGATTACCTGAAATGAAATGGGGTTTAAAGACAACGTCCTACTGGTCAGCTCCGACTGGTCTAATGCATTGTGCTAAGTGAAAATGTTTGTCTGGGCAGCGAAACTATGGCCTACTCTCATACCGAATTCAAACTGCCAAGAGAACTTTTATGTGTACGCCAATGTGTACATTGGATCTCAGGGGAAACCACTCTGCAAAATCAAGATGAGCTTTCTCGGTCAACCCCAAGAGATAACCTGTGGCCTCCATGCTAGTGTGCCAGCACCTAATTTACTCAGTCACCATGGCCGTCTTCTAATTACTGCGACAGTTAAACCATGTGACAAACAAGGATTATTAAGATAGACTTTTACGGCTTAAGTAATTCCTTGGGATTCAAACTTTTGATACATATAGATACATTAGTTTCAATTTCATATCACACAGTTTGTATATATGGTAAGGTAGCTTTAATCGTAAATTACATATCATGTATTTATTTTTTCAGTTTCAATATTGGATGTATATGCAAATCACCCAGAAAAAGATCATGTAATAACAAAAGAAATTATAAAAGAAAAAAATGGAAGAAGAAATGGCTGGAAAAAATGATGATAGAGCAGCTTTTTCTTGGTGGGTAACTTTTCAATTCTAATAGAAAAGATTGTTATGCTATTTTGAAATCTAAAATTCAGTTTAGTATAGTAAAACTGTACACGTCATGTATGGGCAGAGACAGAATCTTAGTTATATGTAGATATCACTGTCTCATCTGTGGCAAAGCAAACCAACACATGAAACAAAACAAATGTAATTAAATTAACATTTTTTTAATTAATCAAAACTGTCTAGTCAATTTAAGCCAACTAATACATTGCCATTTTTTTTTTTCAGTTACCCACCTCGGAAGATCAAGTTGGAAAGGGCTATTGATATTGTGGAGACGTTTTCTCACAGATCTTGCTTATCAGACAAAGACTATGTAAGTACCATGCATATTTGCTTTTTAAACCAGGAACTGGTTCTATACACTTGGTGGGGGGGTTGGATGGACGTTAAACCCCATTTCTCTCCCTCTCTCCTAAATATTGAGATTTTTGTTTACTTTTAAACTGCATATATTCAAGGTATCAGGAGCTTTTTATGGCTCCCGTACAATTTTATAAACATGAAGGACTGTACCTTTTGAATATTAAGCCATCAAATTATTTTATAATTTTGAAAATGAAATGAAATGGGGTTTAACATCCTACTGCTTTGCTCATAAATTGGGCTAATGAAGACGGGCATACGCCATACAGTGTGCTATGAAGGGAATTTTGCCCGGGCAGCGGCGCTACAGCCTACTCTTATATCGAATTCCAATTGCCAAGGAATCTTTTACGTGCACGCCAATGTGTACACGGGACCTCGGTTTTTCGTCCCATCCGAACGACTAGACAGCTGTCCTTGTCAGGTCCTCCGTCCTGTATCACTGACAAGGGGAAACACGCAAAATGTAAGTAACATATATATATTTGTATTTTTAATCAGGAAGTACTTCTATACACTTGCTTGGTAATCTAGTTATTCTTCTTGGGGCAATGCCTAGGACTCTGCTGTTTCAAGTACTTGGCATGCTTGATTTTTGCCAATCACATCCATTGATTTCCTTCAAGTTGCGATAGGCACTACATGTATGTGTATTTTTACAGTAAATAGCAGTAAAATAATGATGGACAGTATTTTACTTTCAAATAGATTTCAATAGATTTTAAAGGGTAATATCCAATTTGTTGTCAATGGAAATAAAATAAGAATGGGTCCAAAAATAATTAGACATTGCCAAGTAAATAGGTGCTGCCATGGTGTAGTAGGGAATCTGGATTTGCAGACAATACATGTATGAAAGGGTGAATAGTTGACCTATTATGAGACTTCAGTCCCAAATCTCAAGACTTTTTTCTGACTTCTAACTCATTTGATTTGAGCATAATAATCTGCCTGGGTCTGTAACTGGACAAGACACAATAAGCGTTACGCATAGTTGAAACCAAATAGAGACTCGGTCTCGATGTGGCAAAATAAATTGTTTATTTAAACGTTGTGAACCATAGAAAGTATTCTTATTGCCTACTTTTTATTTTTTAGGCTGGAACACCATTGAAAGAGTATTTGCTGTATGATAACAACAAGAAAACCCAAGCATCAATTTATTTTATACTTCTGGGAAAGAATGCATTTGACCCAATTTTTAAATATTTATTTTTTGTTATTAATGTTAAATTTTCTTCCAAAACACAATTAGATTTTAATTCTCTTCAGAAATGTATGTATAATATAGCAAGTAAAGTGACATATAAATCACTTAGAATTTGGTCAGAAATCATAAAGTATTTAATAGGCATTACTAGAAACCAAATGTAGATCAAATACACCCAGAATTACAAAAAACCTTGACCTACATAAAGGTGACTTTCCCTTGCTTATGAAATGAAATACGGTTTAGTATCCTACTTTTCTGTGTTCTTAGAGTGATTCTGCCCTACACCCTACTCTTATATCAAATATTTCAACTGTCAAGGGTTCTTTAACGGGAACCCGGGGGGGGGGGGGGGCAATGATTAACACGCACACATTTGATCAGGAAGTCTGTCATTGAGTCAAATAATTCAATTGTCAAGGGTTCTTCTAAGTGAACGCAGTGGGGATGGTTTTGATTCCGGGAATGGGGGAGGGGGTGGTGGATGGCCGAATGGTAAGCACGTGCGTGCGGTATCATACGGCCTGTCATTGAGTCAACTGGCGTGGTTTCGAATCCCCGGTTGTACGTGACAAGAGTAGGGTCGCCTGTCCAATCTTGTGGGTTTTCTCCGGGACCTCCGGTTTCCTCCCACTGCTAAAGACCCCTATGCGCAACGAATTATTGAAATAAAATTAAACCATATGTTAATCCCGAAATGACCTAGTTTGTGTCAAGTGGACGTTAAACCCCATTTCTCTCTCTCTCTCTTTCGATTCCGGGCTTGTACCCAATTATCCCTTGCCATATCCAACACTACTGACAAGTGGGAACTATGCCGGAAAATCCAGTTGAAATTTCTCGGCCAACACCTTATACTCACTGAACCACTGTGGCTTATGACTTGTGATTGTATATAAATTTTTTGTACATATGATATTTTTTTATTTCAATCCTGTAATCTTGATGCTTTGCTTCTTTTATTTACAAAATATTCATTTTGTTTGGGGTTTTTTTAATGAGGAAAAGGTTTTACATCATTTTATTACTCATGCAAAATAGTGCATTTTTCATTTGTTAGTTTTCTGTGTATATTAGTTATTTCTATATGTCTCACAAATCACTTGTAGTGTGATTTTGTAGCACTTTTCAGTTTTTGAAATTGTTTCAATTTAGTGCATAATTAATCTTAGTGCTTGGTTTGGATGTTATTAAATTTAGATATTATTTGAATTATATATTTTGGAGTATGGGTTAGGGATACTGTGTACATATCTTTATATTCTCAGTTCTTGTTTTGGGGTAAAGAACAATTTATATAGCTATTTTATATTTTGTGATAGGTAAAGTGTGTGGGGTTAAGAACAATTTAAATAGCTATGTTATATTTTGTGATGGGTAAAGTGGGGTGTGTGTGTGTGTGGGGGGGGGGGGGGTCATTATATATAACACAATATAATTAGTATTAGAATTATCTGTTTTTCTGTTAACATTTCAAATATCTATTTAGTTTTGATGTATTAATTTACTTTTTCCTATGATTTTATGAATAAATAATAATCTTACAAAAACAAAAAAAAAATTTGTTTCCTTCTTTTATCAAACTTTACAGGTCTAACAGAGCAAAGAGATGGGTCCTGCATAAAAAGGTTGCTATACTGTATATAAATTGGGGAAAAACACAACACAAGTTTTTGTGGTTGGTTATACACAAGTTTGTATGAAACCACACAAGTTTCAGAAATTTCAACACAAGTTTCAGAAATTTTAACACAAGTTTCAGAAATTTCAACACAAGTTTCAAAAATTTCAACACAAGTATTTCAACACAAGTTTCAACACAAGTTTGTGTTGTTTGATAAATTTTAACACAAGTTTTGTGTTGTTTCAACATTTAACACAAGTTTTGTGTTGTTTCAACACAAGTTTGTGTTGTTAAATAGAGACACCTTACTTGTGTTGAAAACAACACAAGTTTGTGTTGTTTCAACACAAGTTTTTTTACAGTGATGAATTATAGGAAGATAATTAATTATAGGAAAATTGTGGGCGTATAAAAAATAGACATATATATATATATATATATAAGAATATAACAGTCGTGAATATGATATACATACAGAAGTAAAACAATGGGTAAATATACATGTTTATCACTAAATGAATGATAGTGGTTTCATTTGAATAGATAATTTGGCACGATGGTCAAAGTTAGAGTCTCAGACCCAAAAAGCCTGATATGCTGGTCCACCACGTATTTGAACAATATATTCTGGTTTCGACACTTTAAGGCGTTGACCTAACACGTTGAATTTTATGAAAACCACCATCAAAGTCACAATTATGCGAAATACTATTACAGTCTACTGCTGAATAGGTTTACTTATGGACCGCACACTTCGATGAACACCACTTTCAGAGGGTTGAATGTCCTTTCTTGGACCATTATAAGAGTATTTACGAGGTGTCGGTAACACATTTGTAGTAAGGGGCTGACCACATGTTTGGTAAGGCTGTAAAATACTCTCCTCTCACTGGGTAAATCATGGAGTCTAACTGCTCTGGTACAGTCGGATTAATGTTTGTGATAACACTGCCAGGAAAATACGGAGAAGGGTTAGGTGACCTGATATAAGCCAATTTTGGACGCATGGAATAAATGATTTTAAAAGGTGAAAACCCCAAAGATGAGTTAACACAATTATTCATGGAAAAAAACAACATCAATCCAGGAACAAGGAAGTTTTGACACACCGCTCCGCCAACGTTCTGTGTAAGCGTTCACAAGGTCCTAAACAGTGATTCATAAAGCTAGGAGTAAATTGTTGAGGTATTGATAAAAGTTTACAAACTTCAGATGTACATTTATAAATAAATTCTCTACCTTTACCACTAATTAATGTATGACAAACACCATAGTTAGAAAATAAATTAAAGAGTACGGAACTAACAGTTATGGAATTAGTATTAGCAATTGGATATCAAACTAAAAACTTACTGAACATATCAACAGCAGTGTTGAAGGAATACATGAATTGTGTACTGCAGCACTTTGTTCAAAATTGGAAGGCACATTAGGATCATTCCATGTCAAGTGAATCAAATTTCGGAAAGTTGAGAACACGACCCCCCCCCCCCCCCAAACAAAAAAAAAAAAAAACATATAAAAAAATATATGTTATATTATATGGTCTTAAGCTAACAAATCCAAAATTATACCTCTCTCTAGATCGAAAACTCGCTACGATATGGCCATTTGGAATTAGGGTACTGAAACGGATCATAAATTCAGTAATTTTTTTTCAGGTTTTCGGATGCTTTGAACTCACATTTCTAATAGAAAAAGAACTCTGTATCTTTGTAATCTAAGACAACTTTTGGTGTAATTACGAATTTAGCATCACGCGCAATGTGAGATTCTCACAATTCGTGCCACCAGGTGGCAAAATGCGGAACAAATGAACTATTCACTTTTCCCAGGATTTCCACAGCTTCTGGCAAAGTCACTATTGTATACACAACCTCCAAAATTGGCATAGTTAATGTCAGTTTGTATGTCATCAATTTACAAAAGATTCTGAGTCAATGAGATATATACTTTTCCAAATATTCAGTCTCAAAATTCAATGCACGTTGAAAACGTACAAAATATACACATTTTCACCTTCAATGTGTACACATTGGCGTGCACGTAAAAGATCCCTTGGCAGTTGGAATTCGATATAAGAGTAGGTCGTAGTGCCGCTGTCCGGGCAAAATTTCCCTCATAACTCACTGTATGGCGTATGCCCGTCTTCATTAGCCCAGGTTAGGAGCAGAACATTTTCTCGTATTTAAAGTTACAATTTCATATTTTCTATTGGCTACAGGGAGTATCGTTTCAATTTAATTTTGCTTTCAAAAACAGGGGAAAACTTGTTTTGTGTGTTTAGAAAGTTGAAGTAAAGTAATGTTGTTACACTATCACTGAACACCTTGAAAGCTACAGGCCGCAATTCTTAACACATGCTTTGCCTACAGACTGCAATTCTTAATGGATCGTCTTGAAAACTGTTCATATATATATATTCCTTATATCCAAAGGATGACTGTTATTATTTTTGGTGCATGCCCGATCCCCAGGGGCACAGCAACACCAGGTCTTTGTGTTATCGTCCATAGGCTGCAATTCTGAACTTGCAAAGGACGACGACTCTTGATTTTGGTGCATACCCGACACCTGTCACGTTCCAGGATGATCCATTCAGAATTGCGTCCCCTAGGCAATAAACATAAAAAAAATGGGCGTTGCTGTGCCCCCGGGGGTCGGACATGCACCAAAAATAAGAGTGGCCATAAGTATGAAAAATTTTCAAGATGATCATAACACACAGACACACACACAGATCCGAAAACCTGAGAAAAAAAAATACTGAATTTATGATCCGTTCCAGTACCCTAATTTCAAATGGACATATCTCAGCGAATTTTCGACCTAGAGGGGTAAAATTTCGGATTTGTTAGTTTAAGACCATATACTATAACATATATTTTTTTATAATTTTTTGGGAGCGGGCCTATGCTTGCAGCAGATATTTCATATCCCAAATATTTACACTTCTGTTGGGCAAAAGCACATTTTTGGGGTTATGTCGTAAGCCAGCTGTACGTAATCGATTAAAACAGTTTGTATATCCTTGATATGTTGATCAAAGGTTGAGAAAGGATATCATCAAGGTAGCATAACACAGAATTAAATGTCAAACCGTGTAAAATTTTGTCCATGATAAGCTGAAAAGAATGTGATGAGGTTTTGAGGCCCATAGAAAGGCGTAAAAATTGATACGTTCCAAAGCAAGTGGTAAATGCTGTATAATTAGTGGACTCCCCGGACAAAGGCATTTGAAAACATCCACTACTCGATAGACGTTATATAATTAGGTGTGGTAGTAGTAAATGATTCTGTTAGCTCTTGCAAATCTGTGCTCGTATAGTTGAAATCTTGTGTTCGAGAGTTGAGCAAACGAAAGTCAACACAAAAAAGATATTGTGATCAACATTTCGCTTTGAAATCAATACAATAGAACTGGTTATATGTAGATGGTCGGTATTTCTAACTTGATAAATAATACCCTGCTGGACAAACTCAGCTAATTGGTGGCGTAATATCCTTCTTACCGTGTGGTAAGCGATAAGGTGGCTGATGTTCAACAATTGACGTAAGACCTTAATCAGAATTTTCTGAAGTAATGAAATTATCTTTATATGAGTATAAACAATCCATCAAGACAGGTAATTCATCAGGGCTGACTGTGGTATTGGAAAAGTTGAGATTGACAAAATAATTTCGATGCGAATCATTGACATTATTAACAAAAGGTGGTGTGTTATTTGTTGATTTATTAACAGGTGGTGAAGCAGTATCAGTAGAAATAATAGGTGTTACTTGGGAGGAGTCATCGAATATGTGACAGTCAGCTAATGCACATCCTTTAAAAGGGGCTATGAGGTGATTAGTTAAGTTGAGTACTTTGAGAGGAACTGTTCGATTTGATGAAACTAGGCAAACACTTCGAGATCGTAAAACATTAATTCGGGACAATTGTTGATGAGGAGTACACATGCCTTGAATACCATAATAATATGAAAATTTTTGTGGAACTTTGCCCCAAACAAGTTTCTGTATTGCTTGGTAAAACAAAAGTTTTGACACATTTCACTTTATATGAGCTGGATTGACTGGGAACAATAAATGTAGTACCTAATATGGTTGACGGTGACACAGTTTCTAACACATAAAATAAAATGTTCCTGTGAAAACAACATTTTGAAGAAAATGTTAAATAAGTACTGCCAAGTACTTTTATCTTTTGATCATTGGCTAATGTAAGTTGATGAGTAAGTTGATGAGTATGGGTTGTAGTAAGTGTAGATTTACTGGTAACTCGTAACCTGGTGAATAGATGGGCAGAGATAATATTCACAGAACGGTCAAAGTCCAGCAATCCAGCTGAGAGGTCTACACTTTTAAATTTCAGTGGTAGATATTTAAAATTGTTTACTTTGGGAGCACTGGAGCTTGAAGCTGTAGATTGGCAGAGCTCAAGGGGCTGTGCTCTGGGGCCCTTAGGCGGAACAAATTTCCCTGTTGCTTTTGAAGTTTACAACAATTAGCGGAATTAACAAATTGTTGACGCATAGAACAGCGGAGAACCGGGCGGATTGATCCATTATGTGTCCAGTTACATTTGTGTGCGAAATAGCGAAAACCATGACAAGTATAACAAACTCTAGATGATGGTGGATAAGTATTGGTTGGTTGATGTACATTGGTATAATGCGTTGGTGGTTGGAATTGTTGAGGGCCTTGAAATGGCGGAGAATGTTGGTAAGCTAGAGGTAATTGGTACTTAGGTATCAGTTTGTTGAGTTGGGCAAAC